GCTAGCTGTTGAGTCACCCGGACCACTCGTTGTGTTTGAATTCCCACTTTTCATGATTGTTTTATCAGCCGTTGGTGCTATGCTCACCGTATCCCGGGTTAAGGGCAACGGTGTCGATTGCCGTTTGCCCCTTTGTGGTTCCACAAAGTCAACTCTGGTGCCTTGCGTGCGATCCGCTGCCGTTCTTTCTTGTGAGGTAGAATTTCTCAAGATTGCATCCAATTTCGTCTGTATTGCACCTGAACTTTCGGCCTGATTCTTGCTCATTGTGTCCAGCCTCTTTTCCAGGCTACCTATTTGGCTGTTGACATCATCATATCGGTTTTTCAACTGTTGCAAATCTTTTTTGATGTTCCCTTCTCGTTCTTTATTGGTGGCTTCTACCTTATCTGTCGTCTCCTTGAGTCTCTCGTCTGTTGCCTTAGCCAGGTTAAAATAACTATCCAGATACTCGTGTTTGTTGTATCTTAATTCTTTTCTTATCACTTCTCTGTCCTCTTCGCTGTGCTTCAGCTTTTTGTCGATCTGATTCAGTTTTGCCATCAAGTCACCTAGCTCAAGAGTAGCCTCTTCATGGTCAGCCGTTGGTCTTTCTTCGGCCGTTGCTTCTGCTTTAGTTTGTTCCTCTCTCGGATTGGCTTCTGTCGTCTTCGTGCTCACTGTCCCAAATGTCCGTGCTCTTTCAGCTTTTGGTTCTTCAGTCACGTTCTCTTTCGTTTTTATTCCGACCATCATCGCCAACCTTTCTGTAAAAGATGTCTTTTTTACTTGAGAGTCTTCTTTCACCGTTTCTTCGGTGTTGCCTATTGCCTCTTCCACATCGTCTATTGGTGAGAACTCTATGGGTTTCGGGTTTGGTTCTTCTGCATTTGGCATTGGAGTTGACTCCGTCGTCTTTTTCTCCAGTTCATCTACGCTCTGGTCTGGTGTCTCTAGGTCGATTTCGATTGTAGGCTCCACCTCTTTTTCTCTCGCATCTTCTCGCGTCTTGCTCTCGGTGCCACTCCTCGTGCTGACCATGCTAACTGAAAAGTTATTTCTTGTTTTGCCTGGGCCCCTTGATGTTGTTCCACGCAGCGACGAGTTATATTTCGTGTTTGATCCACTTGACCTTTTTTCAAGCACCGGTACCCTACTCCGTTTCATTATTCCTATTTACAATTTCCCTTATTTACAATATTATTATATACACAATTCTATTCTAAGAATAAAAAAAATTTTTGTGGAAACAAATTCTTAAAAGAAAATATACAACGTGATAAAAACCTTGTTCCAGTTCTCTAAAATCTTCGAGTAACTTTCTTTATTCGTGGTCCCAACCGTACCGGGTTCCAATTTGTCTTGTTCTGTCTTAATTCTGTCTTAAAACAACTTGTTGTAATTTTACTTCAATTTTTATACTGTCCTAAGACTCCCAGTTACCGTCCCTACTCTTCTTCGTACCGTCCCAGGCTTCCTTTTACTGTCCCAAGAATGTTCGGTAATGTCCCAGTACTCCGTCAGTGTCCCAAGACCCCTGACCCAAGGCCAGTGTTCCAAGACTACTGTCCCAAGGCTAGTGTCCCAAGACTACTGTCCCAAGGCTAGTGTCCCAAGACTACTGTCCCAAGGCTAGTGTCCCAAGACTACTGTCCCAAGACTACTATCCCAAGGCTAGTGTCCCAAGACTACTGTCCCAAGACCACTGTCCCAAGACCCTTGTCCCAAGACCCCTGTCCCAAGACCCTTGTCCCAAGACCACTGTCCCAAGACCCTTGTCCCAAGACCACTGTCCCAAGACCACTGTCCCAAGACCCTGTCCCAAGACCACTGTCCCAAGACCACTGTCCCAAGACCCTGTCCCAAGACCACTGTCCCAAGACCCTGTCCCAAGACCACTGTCCCAAGACCACTGTCCCAAGACCCTGTCCCAAGACCACTGTCCCAAGACCACTGTCCCAAGACCCTGTCCCAAGACCACTGTCCCAAGACCACTGTCCCAAGACCACTGTCCCAAGACTGTATCAAGACTGTTCTGGTCCAACACTGTCCCTGGACTTCTTTGGCACTGTCCCAAGGCTGTTTGACAAGTGTTTGAGCGGTGGGACTTCTCTCTTTTTCGTTATGGGGACTTCTTGATTCACTGTGCCTTGTACCACCACTCAAGCTCTAGTAAAATTTCCCCATAAACCCTTTCTTAAAAGCCAAATGCTGACCCCCCTTTTTTTTTTTATTTCTTTCTAGTTACCTCTATTTCAATGTTCCAAGCAACTTGAGACCAAAACCTGTGCGCAGGTATCTTGTGATCACCTGTTCGTATAAAAACTAAACACAAATCCTCCCCAAAATGCAACAAAAAATCCAAGCCAGAAAAAGTAATAAAAACTGAAAAATGAGCCCACCTAAATTTCAAAGGTGACCAATGTCTACCTTTCGTCGAAAAAAAATGTCTGGTACCTAATTGCCACGCGTTTCCTTCCCCCTTGCTAGCGATCTTATGGGGTATCACAAAAACTGTCTATGTCCGTTTCCCCCTACCAATCCGACCAGGGTACCTACCTTAACCTAATTCCAGTTTTGGATATCCGTTTCCTATGACCAACGCGTGTAAATGACTAATGTAACTAAATCAACGATGTCGACCAATTAGTTACTCTAATTTCTCTCCTTTTTACAATTTACAACCGCCAACCTCTAACTTAACCAGCCCCCCTTCTAACCTCCCCCCTTTTTAGCCCCCTTCTTAAGCTCAAAATTACCTTAAGCGCCGGGTGCTAAACCTCTCAAGAGAAAACCGTAGACCTGTCTCCAGGCCTGCTCAAGTAAAAACGTTCCTCAAAACCGGGGGATATCGCTTATCCAATTTTACACTTATTTCCTATAATGTAGTATGAGTTTTAACGATACCCGTTCTGCCCAACTTGAGAACTCGAGAACTGCCAAATCCTTCTTGGCTACTTTCCCACTCGACTGGTCACCTCTTCCAGTCCAGTTTCCTATTGGTTCAGCTCAAGTGCTCCTGAACCACTTTCCCACTCGGCTGGTCACCTCTTCCAGTCAAGTCTCCTATTGGTTCAGCTCAAGTGCTCCTGAACCACTTTCCCACTCGGCTGGTCACCTCTTCCAGTCAAGTCTCCTATTGGTTCAGCTCAAGTGCTCCTGAACCACTTTCCCACTCGGCTGGTCACATCTTCCAGTCAAGTCTCCTTGTTGTCCAGCTAAGTTCCAAGCTATCTAAAAACCCTTGACAACGCCCCACACTCGGGCACTTTATTGAGGTTACTGGGTTAAATTGCTAGGTTGATCGAAACGATCGAACTTGTAAAACAGTATGGGTATACTATTTAATTAATATAAAGGTTTGATCCAACTAATCTGGTGTCAAAGTCACTGTCTTTTTTCGTTTTATGGTTTTTGTTTCGCTTTTTGTCTTTTTGCTCGTGTTTTTGATCCCCCTAGTTGCCCCCCTTTATTCGGTTAGCTAAGCCTCGTTCGGAGAGCGTACCAGGAAGTTTTCTTGAGTTTTCCTAAAAAGCTATCACGGTACAACCGGAAGGTTTGCACGTTCCTGTCGAACTGTACCGCCGGTACTCTAGAATGGGCATTCAGCCCGAAGCTGTCTCAAGTGGGTTCGACTCCGTAGTCTTGATGTCGTAAACACCCAGGAGCGCCATAAAAACACTATGTAACATTCGTCTACTGCAGTCACACATGAGGCTTAAGAAAAATAGGCCCTATAACCATTGGCTCAAGAGTCAGGGACACTATCTCTTGTGTTTTTATACCTCAAATCAGTCGGAGCCAATTCGGTTCGCTTGTGACATGAGACTACGACCCGTTACAGCTTAAAGGCTACTACTAAAATATCCCCCCACTCTAGAATTAGAAACGTCCCCATACTTAGGTCTCTAGATACCCAAAATACATGAACGCCATTAAAAACCGGGTCGGAACAATCCGTTAAGTTACTTTTTATTAGACAGTGGAACTTTCATCCATTTCAGATGGATCAAACTAAAACTCGCCTTACCTCAACATAACAATTATAAAACACACTCTAAAAATTTAAATTAGTACTCACATTGTAGCACGCTCAAGAACCAGGAAGTAAATAAGTCGGTGAGCAACTCAAGAATCAATAAAGTAACTAAAATGAGTTTAATGTTAGTCAGTTTTAATAACAAGAACAAGTTTTTACTCTAGACTGTAAGTTCTCGTGAACCATTGGGACACTCTAGCTGTCCACCTTTCCACCGAAGGTTCACCCTAGTCCAGTTTAGAATAATACTCCAATCACAACAATCCAGTTCGTGGGAATGCGCTCGTCTCTGTTTTAGATGGGACAGCTCTACTCTCGATTATTATTGCTACTGAAATTGCGAATAGCAATTTCCCACTGATTTTTCTAGCAACTTTCCCGCGATTGTCACTCGATCGTTCTGACTTCTTTTTTCTGATTTTCAGTTATCGCGAGAAAATCGTGCATGACAGGTTCCATTCGAAATTTTGAAAAATTAAATTTCACTCCAAAATTAGGTGTTTTTTGCTTCTCTCAAGGTCAAACTTCCAAATATGACCGACTGGCACACTTGTGTGGCTCTGGATGCTTTGACTTCAAAGTCTCTAAAACGGTCACACCTTTCTTCACCTCTTGCAGCGGATCAAGCACACCCCCGCTTGCTCTCTCCGAGAGCCACTGCATAGCAGTTCTCACTTTGCCTTTCATCATTAATGAAGCAAACACTTTCGAGACATGTTTTTCGTCCAAATTATCTTGATTTATTTGTTTCTTCTACCCATATCTCACTGCTTCCGCCAACAACTTGTCGAATTTGTTTTCCTTCCAGTCATCAATGCGCCGTCCAATAAGTGTTGTCCCTCACCATTTTGAGATGACAACTTCAAAAAAATGCATTTGAATTCGAAAACAAATAAATTAACCCAATTATAGTTGTTAAACCGTAAATTAAGTTGGAGCGAGCATATTTCTTGATGTTCACATTTTTCTGACTCAACAGAGATTTTCTCGAGATTTTCTGACTCAACATATTTCTTGAGATTTTTGTGACCAATTAGTTGTCATAAATGTAACATGCGAAATGCATGCGGGGCCCTTCTACCATAGTTACTTTTTCGTGGGACCACTATCATAGTAGTACCGGTATTGCTGAATTTATGTTGACTTTTTGCAGGGCAAATGAATCCCTTCGAAAATATTGACGTGCCGAAGCTTCCTGATTTTACATCAGGGAACGATGCAGACGTAGATATGGCCTATTTTGAAAGACACCGAGGCTCGCCTACTTTACGTGAAACGATTGCTCCTCCAGAATCAGAGCATTCTGCTGAAAAAGAAAAAGTAGAACCGGAACCTAAAAGAATCGAGGAGCAGAAGCCACGAAGGTTGTCCAATGTGCGAGTGAAGTATCATTACAAGTTCAAACATGCAACTGTACCGAAAACACCAAACTTGAGATCATTAGCTCGAACGAGACAACTTTGCGTTGACACTCCGAATACTCAAGCTGCTAAGGAGCTTGAATCTATGAAGAAGAATCAGTTCAAAGCAATTAAATTGGATAAACGAATTTTCAGTGCTCCTTTTAGACCAAAATTGAGCCATAAGCATACAGAACCAAATGAGCCTCACTTGCTCACCAAGGACAGAGCGGCATTGTCTTCTCGTGAAAATATCAAAAGTGATGATGAAAATGAGAATCAATTCCATGCTCAGCCTTTACCAGACTACGAGGAGCTGAGAAGACTAGGAGTTTATAATCATAATATGCCACAAGCCACAGTTCCGAAATCGCCTGCTTTTAGTCTAATCAGAACGCGATCAATGAAAGACACTCCAAATGATGAAGACAAACCAGCTAGCTACTACCACCCTCCTCCTAAATTTGGAACTCCTTTCAGACCTAAAAGATCTAATAAAGTGACAAAAATTGCGAGCTTTAGTTTTGAGAATCGTGTTTTAAGCAACAAGTATACGAAAGGTCATAACAGCGAAACAAGTGAGGGGGATAATGAGAGTAATACATTCAGAGCTCAACCGGTTCCGAAAATCATTGAAAAGCCATTTCAGCCACGTCGTAATCTAATTCCGCCAACAAAACCTCGCGAGTCATTAGTGCCGCACTCAGTTTCGAGAAGGTTAGAAAAGCGACAAGAATTTGACCGCGAGTTCGCTTCCAGAAGCGAAAGCGTGGAGAAAAGGAGACAAGAAAGGCTTGCAAAAGAGCAAGAAGAAGCAAAAAAGTTGCTGAGAAGTAAAACGGAATTCCAATCACATCCGGTGAAGCATTTCAAACCAGTTCAGATAAGATTGGAGCACAAAGCTACAAATGCAGCAAGCCCGAAGTTTTCCCAACGACTCAACTGTGTCGATAAACGAAAGTTAGAGTCGCTCAAGAAATGAATGATCAGCGATGAGTTGAGGCGGTTATCTTCAGGAATAAACATGGAGTTTCAATAAAAATGGCATATTGAGAATTGAATATGCGCCCTTGATTTTGATTTTTGTGAATTTAAAATAGTTTTTTTTTGTGATTGTGTTGTGATTTATTTTGATTAATCAACAGCAATTCATCTGACCCTCTGCTTAAAGCGAAAAACAAGTTAATGGCATAAAAACCTCAATTCGATCTCTAAATTGTCTAGAAGAGGCCAGTAATGTTAGTGCCAATAGATTTTGAAGATGAACTTGTGACAGTTGGTCCTTTGTTTGTTGCTAATTTAAATGTTTGTTTTCGAAGCACATTGTTTTTTTTTCCTTTCGAAATATCCAAAGCTTTCATCAAAATGTGTAAGCCTGAGACTAGTAAGGGCTAACGAATCCGAACATGGACTCTTTTGAGGCACAATTTCATCAAACAAAGATTGAAAACTTCCTGTATTGGAGATTTGAACGTAGCAATCAGGCTGTTATCTTTTCACTTGCAACAGCAAGTGATTTGTAATCGGGAACGAAAATACAAATAAAAATACTTCGTAGTTCACTTGAGGTAGTAATTAAATTAGTAAAAACATATTTATAGAAGAAATGTTGATTTTTTTGGGTTTTCGTTTTTAGTCCTAATTTTGTCGGCTGATTGTTTTTTTTTCCAAATGTAATTTATATTATCTGGTGTGCTTTTCTAGTAGCTTCTTTCCAAAGCTTAGGATTTATGTAGGTTTCAAACAGTTTGCTCCCGGTTGATAAAAACATTGGTTATGAAATTGTATGGAATATGGTTTTTTATTTTATTTTTCGAGCTGCTTAGGAAAATATTTTTCATTATTTAGAAAAAAAATTTATATACGCGGTTTTGTTCCATTTTTCTTACAAATAACTTATGGCCTTCAGAAAGGTCAATGTTTGTATTTATTGTCCGTTTTTTCAAACTTGACTTTTCTCGATAAAGCCCAGTCGAATCTGATATCAAGAGTTTAATTAAGACATGAGGTTCTGGGAAGCTTTCGTGAATAAGTGGGTGCTAAGAAATTGTTTTTCTTTGGGAAATTTGTTTTTCTTTCTCAAAATTTTTCACTCTTACTTATTTTATTAGAGAACAAGTAAGGTTTTGGATGAAGCCCAATTCTTGAAATAAGCCTACCCATTTCATCTTATATCGCTACAAAAATTTCAGAAAAAATGATTAGGTGCATTTTGATGGGTTCCTAGTACTGTAATCGGAAATTGTTCTGTAGTTTGTTACACTTGCGAGAGCAGGTGTCCTGTAATCGTGAACTAGACTGTTTTTCCCGTAAATAACTTTTCTTATGAGAATTTGAACTTGTTTTTTTTTTATTGAATCTCAAAAACTACCAGGTCCTTGCAAGTTCTTGGCCTTGAAATAATGCGGTCACTTTTGCACCCTTTATTCTCTGGTTTGAGTCCCAGTCGGACAATCTTTTGTGTTCAAGGTGTCTCGGCTTAGGTATCACTTCAAGGATTTTTGTAATATTATGAGAGTTACAAGTATTGTTCATTTTAGTTTTTTTTCTGTTTTTATGCTCAACTGATGTCAGCTCAATGATTGTCGGCTATACGTTTCGTAAGCTGTGTTTCATTGCTAAATCTTTTCTTAAATATTTACACCAAAAAAAACTTAGTTTTTACTTGAAAACAACTTCACCGATTTTCTGAAAAATAGTACCAATGGAAAGTCCTTTGAGTACTGCTACTTTGAGTTGTTGCATATTTTATTAGTCTACTTCAACTTCAACGCGCTGTGTACAGCCTTCAAAAAATCTGTAGGCGGAAAGTTTGAACCAATTTTTGGATTTTTATTTTTTGTTTTCTCAGAAAGATATCGGTTTCAAAGGATGGAACGGGCTGTGTTAGCAAGCTCTTTTGCATCAGCGGCTTCGCCCAATTTTATTATAGAAAAAGTTATGGCTCTCGGATTAGTCAAACATTTGATTTTTTGACCGTATTTGGAATCTTTCTCGAAAAGTTTTCTCGAAAAACACTTTTCAAACACTGATATTGTTGGTTTGTTGGAGATATTCTCGGCATTAGGCGACACTCCTAAGTTTTGTACACAAAAAGTTATTGCCTTGGAAAAGTCAAATTTATGATTTTTTTGACCGTTTTGTGAATTTTTTTCTTTCTTCTCCATAACTAACTTGCCAAAGCAAGGGTTGAAACGAAAGAACAGGTTGCTTAAAGCCTACACTCATAATTGGCCGTGTCCAATTTTTATAAGAAAATTGTTATGCTTTTCAAAAAAGTCAAAAGTTTAAAGTATTCGAGTGTTCAATCGAGAAATCCGGTATTGGAAATTTTATCTGCTGAAGTGACCGTTTTTAAAACATATTGACTTTTCTTAAAAACTACCTTATCAAATTTGAGATGAAGGTTTCAACCGAAACAATTTGTTGCGAAACAATTTGTTGTTCTTTTTTATACTCAACATCTTTTAATGCAATGTTTTAATTGTATCGCAAGCGGTGCGACGCTCCGCTTCGCTTCTGTGTTTGCAACTTGTTCGCTTCTCATTTTTGCAGTCTTCCTATCAGAGATTTCAGTGTTTTCTTATTGCTCGAAGAAAGTGACGGAATTTTTGTGCTCGGGTTGTTATCTTTTCTCCATACAACGCATTTCGTTGTTTTGGTCTCTGAGATAAGTTTTTTTATTCTTTGCTTGGTCCAGTAATTTTTTGTTGTCAAATATCTGTATCCAAGATATTGACTTCTTGTGTGTATACATTTTTTTTAACGGTCTGCAGCTTCATTAAGTCTTCATTTTCCTTTTTCAGCCTTGTGATTTACTTGATAACTTAGCTCTTGTTCATTGATTTCCTTTTGGTTGCTAGCACTATGACTTGGTTTTTTTCAATCACTCATCGGCTGCTTTACAACTTCTGGCTTTTTTGTCTACTTTTCGATGACTTCAAACGGCAGTCGGAACATTCAGGGCTTGTTATACGTTAAACTTGAAATTATTTCAAAAAATTCTGTTTGAGCGCTTTCTTCGAGATTCCTATTTTTTGAACTTTTTATTTTGTAGCAAGTCGGCTTGCAATTTAAACTAATGGATAACAGCTTTTGGTTATTATTATTTTTATTTTTTAAAGCTTGATTCTAATTTCGATTTTTTTTTTGACAATGACTTCTCATTTGGTTTTGTCAGATGAACTTTTAAAGCATATTTATCGGTTTTGCCAGATTTGCCTAATTTACTGGCAACATTGGCTGATAATTTAGTTGTATCACAATTGATGCGAAGGTCCGCCTCGGCCTTGTTCTTGAAATTATCAGAAAAAAACTTGAAAAGCAAAGCTTTATGTGGAGCTTGCTGTGCAAACAAGAGAAGTTGGTTCTTATTTTTTTTTGTACCTGAAGCAACTTTAGTTTCAGATAGAATGGCCACAGTGAGCTGTCTTAAGTTGCCTGAAGGCGGCTTTTCCTTTGAAAACTGCAAGCGGAATTCCATGTTGGCTCAAAGGCAGGGCGTGAAGCTGCCCAAGGCCAAAAAGACAGGAACAACAATCATTGGTGTCGTATTCAAGGTACGATTTTTTGATGAAAAACTTTGTGCACAGCCTAGATTTTTTCGTTCAAGTTGAGCATACCCTTGTGAAGCAAAAATCAACCGTTAATAGAGTGTTCTCACGCGCTTTGCGTATGCAAACCTCATGCCTATTTTATACAAATAAGAAACAATATCATTTTTATCCGAGCACTGTACTAAAAGAACTTAGGCCAAAAGTTGAACCCTCTCAGCTTCTTCATACCACTTCATTTTTACATTTTTAGCCTCTGTTATAACTACACTAAATTATATTAAGATCTGATCAGACAAAGCGAAAAAGCACCCCCGCACCACCACCCCCACCCCCCAAGTAATAAGGGAGAGGGATAGTTGACTTGGATTAAAGAACGCCTTGTTTTTCAGTCATTCACCATTCAGCAACATGTATGTTGACTTGGTTGTGCGATAGCCCTTTACCAATAGGGAGGGGGTAACTGTTACTGTTCCCTTGGCTAGTTTGGGAGAAATTGAAAACACATGGTGCCTCTTATCTCTTTAGAATACTTTTTTTCCAGGATGGAGTAGTGTTAGGCGCTGATACGCGTGCGACTGAAGGCGACATAGTGGCTGACAAGAACTGTGAGAAGCTGCACTTCATAGCAGATAACATGCGCTGTGGAGGAGCAGGGACTGCGGCTGACACTGAGTGGACGTGCGACAAAGTGGCGGCTGAGATGAAGTTGGTCAAGTTGAATTCGGGAGGGAGAGATCCGAGGGTAGTGGCAGCCATGATGCGACTTAAACAGTACCTCTTCAAGTTAGTCAGCAGTTGAAATTTAAAAGTCTTAGAATTTATTTCTCCATAATATTTTCAAAACTTGAAAACGGTCTCTGGATAAGAATCAGATTTAACATGGCATGGATGGTGATGCTATCAAAGCAGCTGAACATGGCTAGGAATGTTGAGTTTTCTCTATTTAAGCAAGCAAACGCTTGTTCAAGTCTCTCATGTATTAGTGCTGTTGTGTTGTTTTAAGCTATCAAGGCTACATTTCTGCGGCGCTTATCCTCGGAGGAGTGGACTCGACGGGTCCTCATTTGTTCGAAATCTCCCCGAATGGAACCACAGCACCCATGCCTTTCGTAGCTATGGGCTCTGGCTGTCTCGCCGCACTATCAGTACTAGAAGCAGGTTACACGCCCGACATGGATGTGAGTTGCTGCAATATTTGAGTAAACTTATTGTTACACTTGCGAGAGCAAGTGTTTTGTAATCGGGAATTATTTTTTTTATTTAACACCTTTTTATCACTTATAGACACTTCTGATCGAAGTGACATGGCATGTGCTGATCAAGTAAACTGACTTTTGACCATGTCTAGGATTTGAATTTCGCTCTCATTAAAGTTTTGTTTGATTTCGGCCGTCAGCCAATTTTTCTCATTTGTGGGAGCAAGTGACTTGTGATCGGGAAACTTTTTATTAACCAGTCAGATGCTTAACCGGAAGGTTAAGTATTTAAGATTAACTAAGCTTTCGCTATCTTACAAGAGATCACCTTGTAAATTGCACTGTACGTGCGATTTGAACCGGCAAGCAAGCAATGACAAGACTTGCCCTTAACAACTTTTATCAATCTAAAGACATTGGATTTAGTGATTTAGTATTGAACCTCAATAACTTCCAGACTTTTCCCACTTGGCCTGGTGGCGAAGAGCATGCTTTTGGATCCTAAGGTCTGAAATTTGGCGGAACTTGTTTTTTCTAACTTCTGTTGGAATTGTTGGACTATAGTTTGTCTGTTTCTTTTTGTCGGATGAGTTTCCAAAACATGGAATTGTCTTTTGATTCAAACACTTTTTTTAGTATAGATGAAAGTTTCACCTTTATAATTTTCCTTTCTTTTCGCTAAGTGGTTTCCAGTTACTTTTTATTCCCGATGTATTTTCGACTTAACGGGTGTACTCCCAAGTGTTGTCGGTTACCAGGTCGCTCAGTAAATAAATAATATTGAATGATTGCTTAACGCCGATGCTTGCGTTTATCGTCTGTGTTTTCCTTAAATTGAACATCAGTCGATTTTTTTTTCAATATTTTTTTCCTAATTAGTGGTTTTTGTCTCTTTTCGCCAGCTTACAATGCTTTACTCTGTGTTAATTTTGACTTTACTGAAAAGTTTGAATGTTGAACTATCGTATGTCTGCTTGTTGTGATAGTCTACTTTCCCATTCCATATTGTGGACTTTTCTGATTTGAGCAATTGTTTTTTATTGTTCTTGTAATTTGCAGTGTTGGAACCGGTACCAGGCTTTTTACTGGCGGGCCGGGCTCGGGCCTCATTTTTAGGATCAGCAACCGAGTCCGGGCCTGACTTTCAAAAGAGTTCATGCCTTTCACCGTTCAAACGCCCAGATGGAGCGTGAACTAACAGGGCTGGGCAAATCCGGCCAGCTATGCGTGCCCTCTTTTCTGTGGCAAAAGTCAGCCAAATCGAACTGCTAGGATGGGCTGCGGCCAGTGCACTTACTAAATTTTGATTTTTTTTTGAAATTCACATTTGATTTTCAATTTACTTTTGTTAAGAAATTAGTATTTTTGTTAAAAATGGGCCCAGGCCTCGAATTCAGGTCCGGTTCCAACTCTGGTCATTTGTAAACTAACGATGAGTTTGAATTTTTCTTTTTTTTTTGCTTGGAAGGTTTCTTGTGCTTAAATGGTTTCGGCTTATGTTGTATCAGTTTGATTGCCTCGTGATTCGTCGGTTTAAAGGCGACAAATTATTTTAATGAGCGTATTCAAAGTGGGGGGTTGAAATGTGTTAAAATTTTGTTGATGTTTTTGTCAACGCAATTTGTTCAACAGTAAGTCGACAAATAGCTTTTTTTTGGCTAGCTGCCGTGATTTTTTTGTGTTGAATTGCTAGTAGAGCTAAGCTCCCCTTCGCCTCTGTAATAGGAAAAAATCGGAGTTCGGCAGCAGCGGTACTTAAAAAAAACAATACGTGCTGGAATTGTACTGTTGGAATTGTTGAACGCTGTTTTGCTCTTGCTTTTGCGCTCTAAAAACGGGAGGGTTGTAGTAGTGCGGCAACTGTAGTCGCTTGTCGAGCCCACCGCGTGAAGGCGGCACCACTGGGCCCTTTTTTCTCTTCTTCAGTTTCCTTGCACATGTGACAGCTTTTAATGCATCGTCTTGTTTTAATGCATCGTCTGTTTGTCACACTATGTATTTTCGGCCGGATAGATTCATGCAACTTCGTAGATCAATAGTAAGTCTCCATCCTGATCTTAAGTTTTTTTTCTGCCACTAGAGCTAATGAAACTGTTTAATTGTGAGATCAACTTTATTGCAGTCAGTCAGCGCAATGAAGTGCTTTGGTTACTCGCTAGAACCTAACAATTTGTAAAGGTTGGTTTAAATATTGTGCAGAGATAAATTAGTTTCAATGAAGTTGCAATATTAAATCACTAGATACGCTGTGAAACTTATAATTACATAATTTGTGCGTGGGGGGATTAGATTGCGCAATTTCAAATAACTGTTTTTTTTCTTCTTTTTTGAAGCTTGCTGGTTAAAAATGCAATAAAGAAGCCATCATATGTTTTTTTTCATCTGATTTGCTTTCCAGGAAGAAAGTGCCAAGAAGCTGGCCAAAGACGCGATCAGTGCAGGAATCTTTAATGACCTGGGATCAGGTTCCAACGTGGACCTGTGTGTGATCAAAAAGGGCACATGTGAATACCTAAGAACGTTTGCGTCAGAGAACCCGAAAGGGACAAGGTTGGTTCCAAGTTTGATTTGATTTTCCGACTATATAGTACATTAAGCGGACTAAATGTGAATATGTGAAAAAAACTGAACAAATCGGCAGTTTTTATGGTAAAATTGCGTGACTAAAAGTTAGTCGACCCAGTTGAAAACAAACACCTCACTGGAATCGGCTAATAAACTGTTCGAATGCGTTGAAAACGTCTTTTTATTGGGTAGCAATTGTTGGTATAATCGTCGGGGTTATTTTTTATCCTCTAATGAATGTTGTAGCTGAAATTCTACGCTGATAAATAATTTATTACACGACTATAAAATTTAAGGCTTACCTGATTTAAAATTTTTCCAAATATATTCAGTTGATTTTCCGAGCTCTCCTTAAACACCAGAAAGACCTCGTTTGGCTAACAATTTCTGCGCCAAAATACTTCAAGAAAAAATATACGATTGGTCGAACAAAGGTAGATATGAACAAAGATAGCCGTTTACTGTGCAAGTAGCACAGAATGTTCCGAATGTTCCATAGTCTTAAAAAAGAACTGAAGTTTTTTTTTCAAATTTACCGTTTTCTGTGTTTTGTGGTTACGCTAGCGAGCAGCTAGTGTTTTAGTGCGAACCTTCTTTTTTTCTAACCTAACTTGCAAATAAAAGTGTTGCTTTTGCGTGCCTCTTTGTGTGCCTCTTCACGATCAGTAGCATTGGAAATTTCATAGCATCTTTCTCTGCTTTACTTGTGGCTCGTGTTTGTGATGGACTCAGAGTCCGTGGCTGAGTGTTTAGTGCGTGAGACGCATAATTTCTCTGCGCAGTAGGTCGTAGGTTCGAGTACGAGACGTCGCCGAATTTGTTCTAATAAGAGGCTTATTTTTACTTTTTAGAACGCTAGAGCTGCTTTTTGCCGTGTTCTCGCTTGTGCTTGCGAAGCGCAGTTTCACCTCTGTGTAAAAAGATGTGAACGAAAAAATTGAATTTAGGCATATTTGACAGTCATAGTGGAAAATAGTTTTTGGAAAACAATTTTTGAAAAAAAAAAAAATTAAAAAAAAAATTAAAATTTGGAAAAAAATTGAAAAAAAAAAAAAAATTGTTAACAACATTCAAAAAAACGTTTTTGATTCCCAAATTGGTGCTAAAATTCCAGACACCAATTTTACTCCAGTAAAACTAAGTTTTCACGGCTTAAATTTAGCATAAATTAGCGATTGTAAGCCTGGATGCTCATCTTATTAGCTTGAAATTTGGCAGGAAATCCAAAATTTCAAACTGGGTTTTCGACATTGAGAAAATTTTTTCAAAATTTTTCAATGTTTGAATCACGACTAAAAGGGCTCTAATATAATATATCACTCGACCCGTTCCGATGATTATTTGCGGTACCTGATTTTGCGTGGAAAAAAAACTAAAGCACACCCGAATACAAAGTTCTTCCACATTTTTCAAATGGTCGGAACAATTACTAAGTACCAAATGAGGAATTTTTTGTCATCGGTTGCCTGAGGGGTGATTTTCGTTAATTAGCTATTATGTACATAAACTTTTTATGCAATACTATAAGCTTAATTCAAACAAAATGTTCGATTTGTTTTCAGGCAAGGAGACTACACATATCCCTCTGGGACAACAGCGGTGAAGAAACGAGAGGTTATGAAAGTTGACCTTGAAATTGTGTCCGAGGAGGTCATGGAAACTGATTAGAGCTGATTAGATATTAGTTATAACCAGACCACTCATTACGTTGAGTGGTTTGTTGAATGCAATGGTATGTTAAGAGTGGAAAAGGATGAGAATGAAAAAGTTGAATTGATTGTTGTTGTTATTGAATTGTCATATTCACCTGTTTCTGACGAGTAAATAAAATTTAGGACTGGACCTTGATCTCATTTGCAAAGAAGTGTTACATAATGTTTCAAAGTGAATTTGTTAGTTTGATTGTCTAAGCTAAATTTCAGGGTCGATAGGTGGATTCAAACTAGTATTATAATAGTTGTCCTTCAAAGATCTTGCTATCTTGCTAAGAGAACCCGAAATACTCAGATACCACTAAACACAAAGAGCGCCCAAAATATACATTTCTCAATTATATAATGTCCTCGGGACATGGTCTCAGCCTTTTCAGAGATCGAATTAAAATTAGAGTTCGATGTTTTATCTCAAAAGCTAACTGAATTTTATTCCTCTTACTTAGCTGTTTTTCAGTTACATGACCAAGGATTACCAGTTACTGCTTAATATCCCACGTGATCCTAATTTGCAAAATCTCCCATGTGAGTTATAAGATCTCAAAATTGAAAATATAAAATTGAAGCAAATAGATATCAAAATGAGAAAAGCTGGTTGCTGTGCAAGTAGCACAGATTGTTCCGACCACATTAATCTACGTAGAATTTTTTATATTTAAATTTGATTGAATCTTGATTTTTAGGTTGAAAGAGGGGATTGAATTTGATAAAAAGCTGCACAATTGGGTATATCATAGCTAACACAACGGTAAAAAAGGGTTTGGCCATCTAAACATCTCGGTTTTTCCTCCATGCAAATTAGTCTGAAAAACGGAAAAACTCAGACCCGTGTTTTGACTGACAAAAGTTTTTTTTTGGAATTTAACTCACGGCCAATAGGGCTCTAAAATGATATCACTCTTGGCCCCTCACGAGTGTACGAAAAATCGGGTTGAAACACCATCCCGTTGAGTTGTAGTTACCTCGTAGAGGGGCAGTGCATAAAGTTTCGTATTTTGGTCATATTTTGTTATAAATGGCCTTTGTTTTCGTTTGGAATGGTTAAATCGTTAGTTCAGTACTTCTTGAGAGAAGGTTGATTTCTTAGCTGGGTTAATTTTCAGTACTTCCAGTGGAAGGTGAATCACCAAGCCGTCAAATTGGAAAAAGATAGTAAAGCTAAGGTTGTGGTGTCTAATTTCGTCTATACCTTATCTGCGAAACACCAGACAGAGGACCACCCTATACCGTAGTTGCTTCCAACTCGTGAAGTAGTCGGAATAATAACTAATAAGTCGTGAACAGAAAGGATTTGAAATTACTGGAGAGTGAAAAGAGACAAGGCTACAATTCGAATATGGCAATAATAATATAAAAACTCGGGCTTCAAAAAACGTTATCTGTACAGACGGATAGAAAAATGTTCGAACTTGGAACGATTTAATAATTATCACCTAAGGTGATACGGGAGTGCGGCCAAAAAGTAGACAACCTTTATTTCATACCTTTCAAAAAGTATACTAATACTTACTAATCAAAATGGAGATAGAAAAAAAAACTCACGCAAGAAGTAAAAATAATTATTTGTTTCGTACATTTGTTCAATTCTGATTGGTTAATATAGTATTTGTCTAATTTATCACCTGTCTACTTTATGTTTTGTCTACTTTTTGCTATGTAACCGCTCATACGGTCTATAGATTTTTCCTAAACCTATGTAATCAAAAACGATAACCGAAAATTGATGAAATTGCGTATGTTGTGAGTTTTCTAACGCATAAATACAGTGAGGGTAGAATCCGCCGATATGTCTGTTCTTATTGCTGGTAAATTTCTGACATTTTGAAAGTGTATGGCTGTTGTTTTTACGTTTTTTGTACTGCAGAGTTTTGGCTTTATAACACAAAAAGACTTAAGAAATTCAAACAACTCTTAAATTTCAGGTTTTAATGTACATATAGCTTCGATCTTCTTTTAATCCGGTCCTGACTTGGGTCTTTTCGACCTTTCATTACTTTTTGGTGTGATCTGGAGAGGTGACGTCATCTTCTACCTGTACGTGGTTGGGATGAGCAGTAGTCTGGGTCTGGTAGTGGCCGAGCTGTTCGATGCCTCCAAATGGATCACATGTGCAGTATCCATGCTTCTCATTGTCTATGGAAGCTACAGGCAAATAATATTTAACCAGTTGCAAATAATATTCTGTTTTTCAGCCATACAGAGGGATTGTTTTTCAAAGCGAACACTTCTTTATCACACTTTTGAGATTAAATGTATTGTTATCGGGAACTAGACTCTTTCCCATTAAACAACTTTCTTTCAAACGTGCAAGAGTTAGAGAAAGCTATGAGATTGATTTTACACAAATACTCAAGTCGCAAATGAAAGCTCTCATTTGGTGGCAATTATGACTGTGTAATACTTAACACAAATATTTTGATTGTGTATGCTATAGAACCTTCCGTTCTATTTACACAAGCTGACCGTAGTATACTACTACGAAGTATCTTTTTTTTCTTACCCAACTCGCAAATGGAAGTTTTCATTTGGTGGCAATGGTTTGTCAATGGTTTTATGTTTCCAACTATTGGCAAGTTAATAGCATCAGTAGCTGCTTTATTGCTAGTGTTAGTGTATTTCAAAGAAACCGTGGCGCAGATGCACGAGGACGTAAAGACTCCTAATCTATAGGTCAGAGGTTCATTTCTGGTAGTTTCTAATAGTTTTTTTAAGAGTCGATAAACGCAGTGAAGACTTTTTAAAGGTCTTGATAACTTTTGTTTGTTTTTTTTTTCGGAAAAAGTCAAAATTTGCGCACAATCAAATGCGATTTTTCGCATTTTGACATTTGCATTACCAAGTTCAGTTCATTTCCTTATTTACACTAGCGTGCATATTGTAATTGTATGAATCTAATTTTTGCTAGCTTACGTCGCAAATGAAATTGCTCATTTTGTGGTATTTTGCTATAATCACGATCTAAAGCATTGAAATGCACAGCATCTGTTCTTTGTTTTTAGTAGCTATTGTTTGCCGATCGTCAAGCGACCGTGGCACAGTGACAAGGATTGGAAACTCCTAATACACTAGTTGGAGGTTCAATGCCGTACTTGGCACTAGTTTTATTTATATTTGTTAGCATTTTTGCTGGTTGCATGCAGTGAATTTGATTGAGGAGCCAAGTTTCGGCTGTATGAGTCCCGTTTTGACCTTTTCCGCTTTCTCTGTGCTTAGTCATTTCGATGTATTGGCCTTGTCTTCGTCTCAATTAATTCGTTTTTGTTTGTTTTTCTTTTTTTTAAGCGCTCAATTTAATCCTTTTTAACATATCCAAGCTAGCGAGCGAAGTGTTATGTTATGTTACGAACTCACCTAGCAAATAAAAGTGCTCGTTGGTCGTACTTATGCTGCTTAGCATTGGCCGTTTGATAGCAACTGTTACTGGCTAATTTTTTTAGCTAGCTTTAATAAGTTTTCATGCGACCCCTAATCCTTCAGGTCGGATGTTCAATTCCGGAAAATATCGAAATTTTAATTTTTTTAAGAATTATTTTTTGATATTTTCTTTCGCCATTTCACTTGTTTTTCACAATGTTTTATTTTATAGAGTTACCTTTTGCTGTTTTCTTGTTTGTGTTTGAGAAGTGCAACTTCGCCTCTGTGCAAAAATGGCGAACTTTGAGTTTCATGGCAGGTTTTTCGGCCCAACGGGCGTCTGCCCAAGTTTTGTTATTCTTTGATTTTGTTTCGATACTTATTTACTGCAAGCCATAGCATTTCCTGGTATGGTTCTCTCAAAATAAACTTAAATCGAGATAATTTTTTATGAAATTTTTGAACGATCAAATTCTTTGTATTTTTCCGAGCCTTTTCTCGACTAAGTCGCGTTTCTCTAACTTTTTTTTCAGCTAGTTTGAAATGCTATTTTTGTTGTATCGCAAGACTTGCGAAGCTCCGCTTAGCCTCTGTGTATAAAATATGTCGAGAACGAAGAATGCCGGTCATTCGGTCGAGGAAAAGCAGGAACATAATTAGCAATATATCTTAGTGAATAGGTTGAATAGTCTTAAAATGAGTTAATACTTAATTCTTTCCCAATTAATTGGATAAAATCTTGACTTCGCTTTTAATGCAGGTCAATGAAACTAGACTCAACCAAAATCTCTCAGTCGAAGACTCGAAACGTGCGGGCTATCGGCAGTTCCCGCTCAGTTCTCATTCCCATCGACCGTCGACTAGGACTGGACCCGACCAAAGCCAAAAGTCCAACGTCACCCGCCTGCGCATGCAATAACACAGTCTGCAACGAGATCCAAAATCACCATAAACATGCCAATCACAACCAGACCAAAAAGAACAGTTCGGTATCTTCGCAAGAAAATTTCGATAACTCTAAATCTCAGTTGAAAAAAGGAATGAGTGCTTATCGTGTGCAGTATTCTAGTGCACGGTCAAGTAAGAAAATTTTTGATCCAATTTTTTTTACTTATATTTAATCTATAGCTATTCGTTAGTTTGGAAGATCTGTTAAAAATGTTTGTTAGTAGTTAAATTGTTTGCAATTTTTCAGAGGTGACGTGAAGTAAGTATCAATTGGGTCCACGGGAGTAAGCTCTTCTCTGTTTCTTCCTTTGAAAGGATACTTTTTGTTTAACTGATAGATACTCGTGAATTTGTGACCCATACGCCCTTTGCATAAAACATATTACAAAAGGAAGAATAAAACTTCGTAATCTTTTGGGTTCTTTTTGATTTAATTGTACACTTATTATGTATCTGATTATTTTTGGAAATAAAAAAAAAGCGGCTGTCAGTAGTTCTTGCGAAGTTATGGCAATGGGGGGGGGGGACGGCGGGTAATAGTTGCGATATCACGCAGGCTATTATGACTATGACTCACTACGTTGTTTTTTCTTTCCTTGATTGTTTGCTACAAGTTAGTTACACTTGCGAAGCGTATTAGTGCAAATTTTTTTCCCAACATAATTACACTTGCAAAGCAATGTGTATAAGTGCGAACTTTCTTTTTTTTTCAACGTAAGGCGCAAAGAAAAGGGATACTTTTGGTGGCACTTTTGAGTCGGTAGGCTGCGGTTGCAGTATAATATAATATGTTCTTTGACATTTGGTTAGTAAAAAGTTAACACAGCTGATGCATTCTTAATTCATCAAATGAACCTATTCATCAAATGAACCAAGTGAAAGAAGTTATTTGTTTCAAACAGCAGTAGAATGATAAAAAGCTCGGTTTCAGAAATTTTCTTACGCAATGTATCTCGCAATTTTTTGAAATGCATAATTCATAGATAGTTTGGCTTATGCTCTCCAATTTATTACATGCAAAATTGTGTCTTTTTGTATTTGGTGCTACTTTTACTGCATCGAATTGGCAATTTATAGCATATGTAGCTGCGTTGGCTCTTTTTTCCAGTTCCCGCCTTTGATTTTTTCTGTAGTTCAATGTACAAAAGTCGATTTAAAATGGTTTATCATGACAAAAACTGCCTTGCAACGTGTCAGCGTGAACAGGTAAACAAATTTTCACAACATTTCTTTGCGCAAAACGCCGTGTGAACAATTTTTGAATATTTTTATTTTGTAACTTTACGAGAGGGGTGGGAAACTGGAAAAGAGCCGCTGCTTTATTGGTGGCTAGTTTTGGGGATCCGTGGTTGGTGGGTGAGACTCTAGGTCGCAGATTCGAATCCGTCACGCAGCCGAGTTTTTGCTAATTCGAGGCTTATTTCTGCTTTTTCTTATTTCACTTGATAGAGCTCCTTTTTGGCGGTGTTCTCGCAATTTTTGCGAAACACAGCTTTGCCTCTGTATTCGATTTTTAAAATCTCCCTCTTAACTCTGAAGGCAGAGAATATCTTGAGACAGGAAAAATAATTCGCCCCGATTTTTTTTGGAGGTCTTAGAAATCAAACTGCGATGCCTTTGATTGGGGGTGTTGGATTCGTATAACATTTTTATGGATCTGCAATTACGCGTGCAACAGCAATTACGCTGAGTCTCAATACTAACGCGTCTGTTTTCTGAAACAAATTCGGGATCTTGTTAACTATCCCCCCTATGGTATCTTGTAACGAATATCTCCCCCCTATCGAGAAAGAATTTAACAGTTAAGCATTTACGAACTTTTGTACCTTGTTAACTATTTCCCCCCTATTGCAATAGGGGGGCGGGATAGTTAACAGTTAACAAGATCCTAATTCGATATTCTAGGATGCCAAGGTAGAACCAAGTTAGCATCCTTTTAGCATCCTAGAACCAAGTTAGCATCCGTACCCCCCCCCCCCCCAAACGGCTTTGGGGGGATGTTAAATTGGTCCGAAACAACTAACAGCAGCATGTTTTTCGGCGCTTTGGAAAATCTCTGAACAGCTTACAATTCCCCTCCTTTGCCGCTGGATGTTTTCTGTGGGCTGTTTTGGGTGATAGTTTTAATTATAACCACGATCCACCATAAAATTATTTGAAAAGTTATAATTATTTATTTCGTATCATTGCCAATTCGGCGATCTCTTGGTTTGAAGTTGTTTTTGATTTATAGGAAAAAGCTTGAATTAAAGTTATTTTTAGACCGCGGGTCGGCCAGTAGTAGTAACACAAGTGCAGTCGGCAGCGCTGGCTCTGGCAGTGGAGGAAGCACGCCCTCGATGTCTCCTAGTAGTACCGCAGAAGGGGGTGGGGGCAGTGGAACTTACCTGAGTGGGGGAGGGGGTATTCAGGTGATAGATTCAAATCAGGCACTGCTGATGCCACTGGGAGCATCATTCTCTCTCCTCTTCATGTTTTTCTTCTTTGACTCCTTCCAGATATTCTTCGCAATCGCAATAGCCAGTGAGTACTGATCATCAAAAGGCATATTCATGCTGGGTCATTTGCAAACATTTTAGTCTGGCCGACTGTTGAAACCGGCGCTTTATTGATAACTTATTATTAAAAAATGCGGAGCTTAGTGCCATATACGAAGTCCACTGTTTTCTAAGCCAAGTCGCAAATGAAAGTGCTCATTTAATGGCACTTGGCTGCAGTAGCATGATATCTTGTTTAGTTTTGCTGCAGAAGCATTATATCTGGTTCATTGGTGGCTAGTGTTTGATGCTAATTAAGCGCCCATGGCGTACATGCTAGTTCGTGGGATTTTCAATCTCGAGGGCGGATGGTCGATTCAGGCACATATCAGTTGTTTAAGTTTTTTACCTTTCTTTTTTTCTCTTTTTGACTTTTTTCAATCGTGTTTGCGAAGTGCAGCTTCGCCTGTGTAAATTATATTTCCTAGACGTGATTTTACACTTGCGAGAATAAGTGTCTTGTAATCGGGAAGTAGTTTTTTTTTTCCCGTAAAAAACTTTTCTTACAAATCTGTAAGAAATTAAACTTGCTTTAATATTGAACTTAATCAACTTCCAGGTTACTTCTTACTTAGCCTGGAGTAACGTGGTCTTCTTTGCAACCTAAGATCTGGGGCTCAAGTCCCGGCAGGACCTCGTTAGTTTTTCAATATATAATGGTATAACTGCAAGTATAATGGTAGTTGTTGGTGTTTTTTATTTAGTATTTTGATTTTAAAAAAAGAGTTATCAATTAAAAGGCCGCCTATATTCTCTGTATGCCTGCATAATCATCTAGTCTTTTTTTACTTTCTTTACTACACTGTCTACAGCCTTTGCAAAAGTCTGTGGAAGGAATATTTGACTCAATTTTTTTTGGCTTTTCTTGTTTTCTCATAAATTACCCTCTCAAATCTGATGTTTTGGATTCAATTTAGATAAAAGGTGGTGGGAAGCTCTCCTGTAGAGTGACCCCTCCAATTTTTTTACACAAAGTTAGCGCCTTCCGAAAAGTCAATTTTTTGGCCCGGTTTTTGAATTTTTTTGACCTTTGTCAAAAACTACTGTCCTAAATATGAAATTTTCACGAAAACTACACTGCCAAATCTTAGGAAGTGTTCTATCGGGAAACCTGATTTTATGAAATGAAGTTTCTATGCTTAATCGGCCACGATCCTCTTTTTCCAGAAAAAAGTTGTAGATTTTAGACAGTCAAGTTTATAAACTTAAGAATCTTTGGCTTTTCTCAGTCCATTTTTTGAAATTGCTCGTTTCATCCCGCACCAGTATAGGAAATTCAAAAATTATCAAACCCTTACCTTCTTTTCCATTTTTTTCTAGCATTGTTTTTGATTTCTTTTTTTTTTGTTATTCCGTTCGGCCTCTAAGTCAAAAAAAATGTCTTTGATAATTTTTTCTTGAAATTCAAAGAGCTTTAATGGCGTATAATTTTCTCTTTGAAATTCGAAAGTTGACGTTTCTTCAGATAACAAGTCAGTGTTTTTTTTTCGGTTTCCTTGCGTTCATTTACTCTTTTCCAACTGTCTGTTGGTTAAGTATAAAGTTTTCAAAAACTCTCATATCTCGAAACAACAGTGTCTGAAAGAACCTTAGAACACTTTCACGCTGCAGCAAAAAAATTGAATTGAATGAAAAATTATCTGGCCCTTGTTGTTTTGCTCAAACTTCTGCTTTTCGATGTTCTATTGTATTTTAGGCGTTTCAACGGTGGCATTTGCATTCCTCGTGCATCCATTCTGTCATCTAGCGCTCAAGCCATTCATCTCTCTAAATAAGTTAGTATGACTTTATAGTTGGTAATTTCTTCGAAAGTTTGTTTATGCAAATAAGGAAGATACTAGAATAAGTTGTTACTAGTTCAAGGTTGAATTGAGGGGAAATCGATATATCAAATGTTTGGCGCTTCCCAGAGGTGCAAAATGGTTCTCTGATTACTCTCGGGTCTTGATTATTGAGACCCTACCCCTCCCCCGATAATTAAGCAGCTGAACGTAGATAAAAATTTCAGCCCGTATATATCCCCACCAGAAAATTTATAGCCCACCACCTGCAAATTTGAAACCAAAACCAAATAATACAGGAATAACAGTGCGGTGGGGGTGTAATTTTTTGTTGACTAGGCTGGGGGCCTTAATGAACCAAATCTCTTATACGTCTACCTTGTATTTCAGAGTATCTTTGGGCGTGTTGGGTCGTCACTTGCCATCCGAGGTCGTATCTTTCTTCCTCTCGCTTTCCCTGGTGCTGACATGGCTCATCACTGGCCACTGGCTGCTCATGGACCTGCTCAGTATGGGCCTGTGTGTGTCCCTGATAGCACACATAAGACTGCCCAGTCTGAAGGTGTCAATCATTCTCCTGTTGAGTCTCCTAGTGTATGATGTGTTCTGGGTCTTCTTCAGCTCACTCATATTCAGTTCAAATGTGATGGTCCACGTCGCTACTCAGCCGGCCGACAATCCGGTAACTAACCAATCAAGATTATTATGAAGAAACCTTAGTCTATAAGGGTGCGTGATCGATCTTGATCAAGAACACGGCGGTCCTTTTCCGGAAAATTTCGAAAATGGCATATAGTTGGTGCATTTTATATCAGTCAGAAATAATTGCAGTTAGTGAGTTCTCATTGCAGATGGAGAATTAGGTCTTCTGTCTAGTTATCAAGTCTAGTAATTCCTGATACTTAGTCACGCATATCGGAAGCGACAGTTTGAACTTAATCCATGTGAGTGATTGTTTATGATGTCAAATAACCAAAACGTCTTCTTTTGTCCGCTAGCTTTCTATGTTATATTACTTTTTATTCAAAGACGGCTGCTCTGTTTAATCAACGGCTTAAATAAGTTCGGAGCGCCGCATTCTGGTTCAAAAAAATTTCGGCCTATTATTTGTCTGCTTATGTATTTTCGGCTTAGTAGCCAGATCTAAGAATGGTTTATTTTCGCTGTAAACATCTTTCACTGTATTTGCTGAAAGTGTTTTAGTATTTGAAAAAAAACCGACCGACTTTGTGAGGGTCAGGGGACTTAATAAAATTTAAAGCCTGAAAGTTTTGATTTTTGTATTTTTAAGAGTAATTAACGTAGTGAAGACTAATATAGGTCTTGGTGATTTTTCTTTGTTTGTGTTTTTTCAGGAAAAAGTCTTATAATGCTCTAGTAACTACATATGTGCCTTCATACATTTTAATGCTTTTATGAATGAACTTAGATATATATATAAATTAACATATATATTTTTGAGTTCAATATATGATCATCTGCTGAAAGTAAAGTTAATTGCCTTCTCCAAATACAAACGTGGAAATAACGCGAAAAAGCGTGAACTTTTCTAGTTTTGAGTGTTGAATTTAATTTTTAGTTTTACCAACGGAATAAAAAAATACCAATTAATTGAGTTAGTTTTATCAAAAAAGTGTCAATCATTAAATCGTCTTGAAATTCAAAGAGGACTAATGCCATATTTTTTTCACTTTGAAATTCGAAATTCAATAAAAAAACAAGTGTTTTTTCTCTGTTTCCTTGCATTCATTACTCTTTTCCAACTTTCAGTTGGCTATGGTCCTTTTTTTTCAGCTTAATCGGTTTTAAATTCTTTTTGATTTTTTTTCGGCTTTTTTTCATTTTTCTTTTTCCGGCTTAATGGGTTTCGGCTTATATTATACCTTCTAAGTGGCCCCTTTTTGCGTCGGTTGATGACCGAATTTTTTAAATGTGCGTGTGTCCTCTGAGAGAAAGAAAGGGGTACTTATTAAAGGTTTTTTTTCGGCATGAAGGGTTTCTGCTGAGCGATGTTCTGTTTTGTAACCGCTTGGTTAGTTTTGTTCCTATGCTAATTTTGCATTCTATTATCGTGACAAGTTTTTTCAAAACTATCTTTCATTCATTTTGCTAGATCTAGTTGTATACATAGTTATAAAACATCGATATTAATGTTTTACTAATGACTTTTCGGTTTTCGATTAAGCTATCGCTTTAGTTTCCGAATTGTCTATACCACCATGATTTCAGTACATATATGGCTTTGTTGGATGCTATTTGGGCAGTGTTTGTATTTTTTTGAGCAAGATTTTGCCGAAAAATTTTGGTTGATTTTCTGCTAATTGAATGTCGGCTTCAATTCTGTCGGCTTATTTACCTAATATTTTGTTTCCTACAGATTTCGATTTTTTTTGAGATCGTTAAGAATTTGGTCCCAAATTTAACTTCCGAATGCTCAAATTCAACCTAACTTGGAACTTTTTTGACTTAAGTCAACTGGGTTAGCATGCACTCCTCTTCCTGGATATGTCGACCATAATATTGTTGCACTTAATTTTTTAGTATATTTCCTTTCTGAAGTTCATGGTTTGGAAAATGGTATTTAAAGAACTCGACGGATCGGATAATTTTTTTAAAATTCCGTTTGCGAGTGCATTTGGAAAAACATTCTCGTCTTCATGTCACAGTTTTCTCTAGTCTAAAGATTGTATTTGATTCCTTTTGGTCGCTGAAAAATTGTCTGAAAGCCTGTCATGTTAAGGTCGGATTTTTGGCCAGAAAACTCAATATGCAAGGTATGATGCCACAGGCTCCGAAACTCTCACTTCCAGGAAAACTCATTTTTCCAAGGTTAGTTACAACTACTCAACGTAGACTAAATCTTACGGAAGGACGTTTATTAAAAATTTGAATTCAAATAAACTATTTCAATTCAATTAAGTATTTCCTTAAGATTTTTTTTATCGTTTTTTATCCTTATGATTTTTTTTAGTCACATGTCGTGGGAGGGCGACTTAGACGCATCAGTGATAGCGGAACAATCTCTCTTAAGTGCAGAGTCCGATTTTATTTTAAATTTACACAATCACCATATAAACAGCCACCATGCAGATACTATGTCGCATTATCATCACAATATGGGAGGGAAATCAGCAGTGGCGCGATTTGACCGAAACAAAAACGCGTGGAGGAAGAAGCAATCCGACAAAGATGCTGTAGAGTTTCTAGGAACTGAAGATGGTGTCGATCATAATTCTCGACATCGTCTCAAAATAGAATCAAAAGAGTCTAACTTGGGAGAAAATATGCAAGTTCTTGGAATTCAAAATTCGGATCGGTCTAAGATCGATTACCTTGGAGGTCAAGCGTCGAGTGATTTGCTAGCAGAGCACATGCATTACTCGATGTTGGGACTTGGTGACATTGTGATGCCAGGACTGCTTCTGTGCTTCGTGCTGAGGTTCGATTCCGTTCGGGGTCGGTCCCAAAATGTTTTCAGTGTGTTATCCGATGAGCAAAATGAGAGTAGCGGAGGAGGAGTCATGAAGGGATGTGTTGTGTTCTGTTGCGGCAGAATCACATGCTTTCATTCTGCATTAGTGGGATATGTCATTGGTTAGATATATTTTAACGTTTTTGAAGAAACAATTTGAAAACTTGAATATTTACACGCCCGAATAGTTGAATTGCTTTTGCCGCCCGAATCAGCCTTTGAGATATTTGTAAGTTCCTAACCAATGCGCACAAGTAGTTATATAAAAACGTGTTCTCAACGTACAAAACTGGAATACAATAGAGTATTTTCAAGGTTGGGCATTGTGGCATATAATACATAATGATAATAGAATTTGGACTGTAAAAACGTGTAAAAAGTATAAAATTTCAACTCTAGTTATTGAAGAGCGTGGTATTTTCCTTAAGTTCTTTTTACTAAGTAGCCATAAGATGCTCAGCTATTTTTTCCTGGATTTGCAGATTCATTCCCTGTGAAAAAAAAATTGTTCTCGGTGCTGCATAGTTTTTAAGTGTCAATGAACGAATTAAAGACACATTCAAGTTTTTTTTAGGAAAATTATTAAAAGTTGCTCACGCTCAATTAAAATTAATCGCACTATAGTGTTTGCTTCGAAATCGCTTTTTTCAATCGAAGGCAAATTACGTCTTTAATAGCAAAATTTCAAATGGCGCCAAACAAAGTGAATATATATTTTTTAAATTCTAGTTTTTACTTTCACGATAGCAATTGTTTTGTAGCCGGGTACTACATTTTTCCCCTTAAATAGCTTTGTTTGCAGGACTCGTCTCCTGGTCCGATTTTTTTGGAAATATTGTAACATACATTTTGGAGCAAGTTAGCATTTTAACTACCCGTCCTATTCGAAATTTGTTTTCGATGCTGGTTGTAGTTTTACCAACGATTAAATACAAGTTCCTTTTTTATTTTTTCTTGTTTCGGCCTATAATATATCGGGTTAGTGGCCTCAATTTTATTGTTCGATGAGCGAAAGACGTTTTTGGTGTATGCGTTTTCAGGGGGGGGGGGACTTTTTATTGGAATTTGTTTTTGGCTCTGATTTTATATTTAAAAAACCTTTGGCTGTTACCGCTGTTCTTAAGAATATAATTTCACATTTTATTGCCTGGCATATTTGTCTTTTCAAAACTAGCTACATTCAGTTTATATATCTATTTTTTTTTCTACGTAATTGTTTTTTTTCTTCGACGAAGTGGCTTTCTTGTTTTTTATTGCTCCGCTTCGCCTGTGTTAGAAATCCCAGCGCAATAAAAAGAATTTACCTTTTGGTCTACTTTTTAAGAGTCGATGAACGTAGTTCAGACTCTTTATAGGTCGTGATAATTTTTTTGTTTTGTTCTCAGGAAAAAGTTTGTTTGTTCAGATTCAAATGTGATTTTTCGCTGCTGACGTTTGCATTTTTAAATTCATTTCTTTCTCTCCGCTATCGAGCAGCAAAAGTGCAAAGGTCAAAAAAACGTGATCAACTTGTAACTTTGAACTAGGTTTTTAATCATCAGCTTTCCCAGCGAAACAAAAACTTTTACCTAATGATCCAGTTTTCTTAAATTGAGTTAATTTTACTATCAAAAAAGTGTTCATCATAAATTGTTCTAGAAATTCAAAGAGCTTTAAGTCCATCTGTTTTTTTTGGGAAATGCGAAATTTGAGATTTTTTCAAAAAAGTCAATTTTTTTTAATTGCTTTCATTGACTTTTTTTTCGAACTTTCTGTTGGCTATGTTCTTGGTATTGGTAAATTTAAAAAGAAAAATTTCAATCAGAAAAGTTTCTTGAAAAATTTGAAACTCGAAAGCTTACTGATGGTTAACAAAAAATTTTTTTCATTGAATTGTGATTGAACTCATTTTTTTCGTTTGCAAGCGTTGAATTTGATTTAACTATAATAATCAAGTGTCAATGAGCGAAATGAATACACTGTTTTTTGTTGTGTATGTTTTTTCGAAGCTTAAACTTCGTGGTTATCATGGGTATTGCAACTGCGTGCTAGACTGCTTCCCGTTTAAAACATAGTTCACAGAACTCAACAGCTTTCATTGTTATTTCAGTTGTTTTGCGATTTAACTTTGTTTGGTTCTTTCATTTTTTCAAGTTTTTCCGAGTCATAAAAAAGCAGATAGTGGAGCCTCATAAATTAATATGTTTAATTTTGATTGTATCTGATCGCAAAATTCTAATTGTTCTTTTTCAGAAAGGATTTCATCGCCTATGTTTTGAGTTTTCACATTGGCTTTCATGATGTCCAAGTGTAATAGAGAATAGAATGATCACCGTTAGCTTCAAAAAATTTCAATTATGTTACGGATTTTGAAAAATCTTATCTTTAGTAGTACGTTTTGACTTGATTTCTCTCAGTTCACGTTGCTAAATTGAAAGCCAATTACTCTCTCCGATAACATACATTAGTGGACAAAATTAAGTGGAAATTCAGGATTTCACTCTGTAAAATGCCTATTTTCAATGTACATTTTGGACAACATTTCCTTCGAACTTCAGGAAAATTTTAACTTTAAACGAGAGCAAATGATCAGAGCTACCATCTATGAAAGTATCAATTTTTGATTTCAATGACTTACCAATGTAATCCGGGTCTGAAAATGCCAGTTTTCCTCATCTGCACTAAATTTTGCATCGTAGTGAATTATTTCTTGAATAAGCGGAGTAAAAAATGTGTTCATACAACGTGAAACATTCTCAGCGAGAAAATGGAAACAATCAGAGTGAAAGCTTTACTAAACTCAGACGTTTGTTACTCTTATTTACGCTAAGTAAAAAAATTTAGTGCAGATGAGGAAAACTGGCATTTTCAAATCACGATTACATTGGTAAGTCACTGAGATCAAATATTGATATTTTCATAGATGGTAGCTCTGATCATTTGCTCTCGGTCAATGAAAAAATTTTACAGAATTTCGAAGGAAATGTTGTCCAAAATGTACATTGAAAACAGGCATTTTACAGAACAAAATCCTGAATTTGAGCTAAATTATTTCCACTAGTGTAGGTATAAATGGCGCGATAAAACGTGAATGACTTCAAGTTTCAAAAATTGTTCTCAATATATAGAATTTTTCTTAGATTGAAAAAACTTATGCATTGATCGAGTTATCTTAATTGTGTGTAGATTTTCTAAAAAGTGACAATCATAAGATATTCTTGAGTTCAAAAATGTATCGATTTTGTCTCTTCATTCTCCTGATAGTCGCAGGGAAGCAATGAATGGAGCCTTGTCTTAAATTTTTACGCTTGTTATCAAATCGTTTGAAATTGTGATTTAGTATTTTTGCAAAAATTTGTAGAAAAAAAAATCCGATATGTCCCGTTTTTCTTTAATTATTTGTTTGCCTGGTTTGAGTTTGTCAAATTGTTTTTTTTCGATTTTTTAAATTTTGTTAGAGAATAACTGGATCGTGCTTGTTCTTGGAAAATTTTGAAGTTTCGAAAAACATGAAGTGTCGCAATTCCAACAATCAATTTTTACGCCCTAATAGATGTAAATACTTTGTATCGCATGTGATGCGAAGCTTTGCTTCGCCCTTGTGTAATAACTATAATTTTTCAGTGTTAATGAAGTTTATGAATTTTCATTTATCTAGATTGTTTACCGAAACTGACCTTGCGTGTTTTGACTAAAAATCAGTGGTAGTTTAGTTTAACACAATTATATTCGAGTTTTGAAGTAGCGGCGCTAGACATGCTTAGAATGTCAAAGAAGTAATTAGTTTACGGGATGGGTTGAACTTGATCTGTTTATTATTGTTGTTATTTTGTATTTCAGGACTAGTGTGTGCCACTCTTTGCTCGGATATCTTCCAGCAGGCCCAACCTGCTTTGCTCTACATAGTGCCGGCTACACTTCTTCCTCTCATAATAGTCGCCTATCTCAAGGTCAGACATACATCATCACGAATTAACCACAGCCTTAACCTGTCTACTGTAAATTGCACGTACAACCTGAGAGAGTCATTGTAAGGGGGTGGGGGCGATCCAATACTAGTTTGGGACGTTAATTTTTGGGGTTGGGCTCTTTTTAAGGCAGTGCTATTGCTCCAATTCTAAACGGCTGAACCAAAGTGACTTTTTTGAAGTGATAGATACTCTTCGTTTGCAGGACATGTTCTTAAAAAATTTCAATTTGGTCCTACACTTAAGGGCAAAAAACAGATTCAAGCGACTTTTATGTGTCCTTTGCAATTGATTTGCATTAAATGCCAAAGCTTAAACGCGTTCATCTTCATTGGCTTATTCAATTTTTTTAGCTTTCAATTAAAGGCCCATATAATGAATGTCAATGAAACTTTCTGAAGTACTGAAACTGAAATAATCGTTAAGCTTCAAGTTAGTAGCACGTTTTTGTTAGAGATGTATCTATTAACTATTGATTAACTACCAATTATCCATTGACACATTTTTGGATCTTTCAGGTTAAAGCCACTCCCATTGATTTTACTATTATAGTGGGTATTATAATGGACAAGTTTTTGCTAGATTAAAGTGAGAGTTGAATGAAAGAGAATTGGATCTATCCGATTGAAAAACTAGGGTATATTCAGCTCCACATATTACTTTCAGCTTCATAGATTAATTCCAATTTCAGCTCCACATTTTACTTGACATCGCCTAGAAACTGCGAAAAAAAACTATTATTTTTTCTTCCACATTTTGAATCAAGAAGTCTGTTCAAAAGTCGCCTGATGAGAAAATTAGGCTTTAAAAAGTTCGCGAGCGAAGCGAGTTCTCTTGTCTGCTAGTATATTAACCATTGCGATAAGCAAGGGTTTTTCAATTGGGTACTCGAATTTTTTTCGTAAATAGTTTTGCTTACAGGTCCAAATTTTTGTCGGCGTTCTCGCCGGGAATTTTATTTTATTACCTTTTCTGATTATTTTTTCTCAAATACTTTTTCTTCAATTTCAAGAGGGTGTAAATAGTGCATGTATTGCTGGTTTTTTTTGTGATGGATCTGACTCCTGGTTCGCTTGGTTACAAATGGTGTCGAGCTCCGAATTCTCTTGGTTTTTCGGTTACGGAGCGTCTGAAGCAGAGCCAGGCTGCTCCGTATGCTCCTACTCCCCGCTTAACCATGCAGAACTGTGACTTCGACCGGTATGTGGCTTTTGTACACTTTTCGTCTTTTGAGTTATGGAATTTTTTGAGACTCAAGAGGCGCGAAGCTCAGCTTCGCCTCTGTGTGTAGTTTTTTACAATAAATGCTAATTAAAAGTCATCAGTTTCCCCGAGTTGATCAAAACTTGTATGATGATAAAATGTATAGTATTGTTTTGCAATTTAGGTGTTCTGAAGTTGGCCTGTGTTTATTTTAAGCTAGTAATACTGGAAACAACCCCACTTGATTGAGATTTTTTAGAATGACCTGAAGGAGATGTGGCAGGACCCATTTGTATCTCTCGAAGCCAAAATGACACCGAGCCACTCGCGCAATTCATCTCTTGATTTTTTCTCCAACCTGAACCTCATTCACCTCTCTGCCGCCGCAGCGCCAAACTTCGCCGACCCCGAAGCACTTTTGGGCCACGAGACGAAACATGTACATGTCAATCAAACGGGAGTTAAATTAAGCACACCTCTTAAATACCCGAAGAATACGAGTAGCCAGTATAAATACGCGGCTGATGTTGAATTGTGTGAGCCCTTGCTGTACCAAGATGATGTTTCAGAAGCGGAATCACTGAAAACCACCGATCGATTTAGCCGCCAGTGTTCTTCATCTGATAAACTTCTCTCTGTCGAGATAGACTAGTTGAGAGTTTTCTCTCCTTTAAACCTGCTACTTCATGTAAGGCTTCATATATTTAATGCCAGGTCAAGTTTTTGAGCTAAAGTCTTGAATTGATTGTGAGTACTGTGTATGCAGTTCTCGAAAAATAATTTAATGGTCACCAATGGGCTAAACTTCTATGAAACATTGGCCGAGTCAACCAGATCTGAAAGCTTTTCTTGAAATCTTTAAGGTTTTTAAATGAACAAAAGTATTTTAAAGCCGAGTTTTGATGCCTGAAAAGTGAACTGTATAATTAGTTTTGCGATATTGCTGTAAGCTTTATATGTAGTTATTCGACCGTAAAACTGTTGGATGAGAATTGGTTCGATTTTGAAGCTTAGTTTTTGTTTACTTTAGCTTAGTTTTTTTCTTTTTACGTGCATACTTGCTTTGAATGCTCATCAGTAGATGAAACTGGGCACTATTTTATGCTAGACAATGTTTAAGTGTTGATGTATATTTTACTGAATATTGTTCGATTGATTTTGTAGCTAATTTCATGCTAATTTTATCATGGGGAAATCTTTTTTTTTTCAAATATTTGTTAACGTTAGTGCTCTCTGTTAGTGAACTGTTAAGTTAAGTTTTGAGTAAATTTTAAAGAGAATAAAGTTTCAATGGAGTAGAGTTTATGTGAAAATTGATCTTAATTGTAAGTAAATAAGTGCTTTGACTTCTAGAGTCAATTAAGCAACGTGCAACCACTGCGTTTTGAAGGTATTTTAGGTCTTTTAGGACTTTTGAATGCGTGAAAATGAATTGAGCGAAAATGCTGCGAAGTGTGACAAAGTGGAGCTGAACGCATTTCAACTCATTTGCAAGTCGCAAACAAAATGCCCCTTTGGTGGCAATTTTGGTATGCTTCCATTTAATCATAATTCAGCCTATTTAAGCATAGGCATTTTAATAGCATATGTTGTTGCTTTATTTTGCCTGTTTGGAAAAACAGGTATCATGAAAATGCATGAGATTTGTTGTTTTTTGCGAAATTTTGGAAAAATTTTGCACTCTTCGCTGAAGTTCCTTCGAGTTATAAAAAGGTGGTACCTATAGAAGAACTGGTCAGGTTTCTTTGTGCCTGCATATTTCTACGGCCTTCAAAATTTCAGTACGAGTTTTTGACCTGTTTGTTTTGAAATTTTTAGTTTTCTAAGATATTGTTTGCTCCAATCTGAGATTAAGGCTTGAATCAAATTGCCAAATCATTGGAACTTCCCCTTCGTAAGCGGCTATTCCCTAAATTTGGTAGAAAAAAGTTATGGCCTCAAACAAGCCCATTTTTGACATTTTGGTTAATTTTTAAAAAAATTTCTCAAAAACTCCCCTGCCAAATCGGACATTAAGGGGTTAACCGTAAGTAAAAAAAATAGTTAAATGAATCTTCCGTGCGCAATGGCCTTAAAAATGTGCAATTTTTGAAACTTTGCCCATTTTTTTGAAAACTTCTTCTTCAAAAACTACGCTGCTGATTCTGAAATTGAAATTTCATTCCAAGTAACATAGTGCTTAGATTTTTCCTGCATAATCTGTGTCACCCTATTTTTTTTTTTAGAAAATCCGATATGGATTTTGGAAAATTCCATTTTAAAAAATGTTTAGCGTTTTTTTTTAAATTTCATCACTATTTTCGAAAACTACTTGCTACTTATAAAGGGTTCAATCTAAAAATCAGGGCTTGGAAATTGTCCCAGCATAAAAGGCTATTCCCATGCTTAAGAGAAAGTGTATTGATTTAGAAAATCCAAGCTTTTGATTTTTTGATCGTTTTTTCAATCTTTTTCACTTTTTGAAAATTACCCAGCCAAATCTGAGATAGAGCTCAATTGAAAGAGCGAGTAGTAGTTTTCTGCTTCAATCTAATCTTTTACTTGAGCAGAGAAATTATTCGGGTTTTGAGTAATGTTTTTTTTCTGAAATTTTGAAAAAAGCGGTTTTCCGTATCAATACAATATACGATTGAAAATATTAAAACAGGTGCATCCAGCAATAGCTGGCCCACTAGATTACTGCAGATGTGAGGAGGTGAGAGACTCTCAATCATCAGGTCGGAGATTCAAATCCGGAACATTGAATTAGTTTTAATTTTCTTGTTCGAGTTTTTGCTGCTTTTGCGGCTAGTGTTAGTACATTGATAAGCAGTCGTGGAGCAGATGTGAGAACGTGATACTTCTAATCTCAAAATTGATTTTCATTTTTTCTTAAGATGTATTTTTAATCTTTTCTTTTTCCTTATTACGCTTGCGATTAGAAAGCATTATCAAACTGAAATATAGACGTTTTTTGCTAGTAAACAACTAGTTTAACAAAATCAGTTGAATCACTTGCTGACTATGCAGCTGACTTCTTTTCACTTCTTTTCTCTTAACATCTCCTAGGTTGCTTCACCTGGAGGTAAACCAGTTGCATTTGTACCCCAAGGTCTGGGGCTCGAGTCGTGGCCGGACCTTGTTTTTTTCAGTATCAAGGAAATTCAAAAAAAAATCTGACAAAATTGAATTGTTGGTTTTTCATTCGTTCGCTCAAGTTTTGTCGGCTAAATTGCCAGAACGGATTTTTCTTGTGCTATAGACAGTTTTATTTGTAGTTGCAAGTGTAGTTTATTCTAATTTCAGGGGTGGACTTGAAAAAGATTTTTGAAAAGAATGTTTTTCATAAAATCTTTTGTTTTTCGGTTTAGTTGGTGTCTGAGTTGGAAGTACAGGTGCTGTTTCAGAGTTGCCACGCGGTCAGGGTCAAGTCAGGGCGAAAAAAAATTGTGAGGGCGAGCAAAGTTGTGTCAGGGCCAGGAGCGTGAAAGCGTTTCTGGCCTTAGCTTATACTTCAAAGTTGTCAGGTTAGTGGTCGGGGCGACAGTTAAGTTATACCGCGTGGCAACTCCGTGTTTAATCTAGTTTCAAGGGTAATTCGAAAGATTTTTGAAAAATCAAAAAAAAAAAATTCGTTTCAAGGGTTTTCAGCTGAAAGATTGTTGGCTTATTTGCCGCATTGCAGATTTTTCTTGCGCTGTAAACAAACAACTTTCATTGTAGTTGCAAGTGCAAGTGTTGTTCTTTGTTGTTTAAGGTACTTCTGTAAGCTTTTATAAAACCATAATTTTTTCGGATCAACTTATGTCGGCTCAAAGTTAGTCGGCTTTGTTTCTTTTCGTAAATTTTGTTCCGTTCTTGCCGTTTAAAAGTTCAAGTGTCTGGCATGTTTGCCTGAAAATAACTTCTATCGAGACTTATGAAAGTTTATATGACTTTTTTCAAAATTTTTTCATTTTCTTTCGGCTCTGTGGTTGTTTTAAGTTTGTGTTGTATTGCATGTGGTGACTCCCTCTGTATTTCGTTTTGTCTTGCCTGTTTAGAGCTCTTTTTGTATTTTCCTTGCTTGTGTTTGAGAAGGGGAGCTTCGCCTCTGTGTCAAAGCTTGCATTGGTGATAATACTGAACTCTGTTGAAGGAAAACCTTTTGGTTTCATTTTCATTTTTTTTGGGCTGTAACCGATTTAGATCTGCAGTCACGGGGCATAGAGGTTGCAACTTCTTATTTCAACGATCAAAACAACAATTTTTATTCTTGTTTTTGTCGTTTTCTCTGCAAGTATGTACACTAGCGATCAGCGTAGTGTATTATTAGGAACCTTCTTTTTCTAACCTAATTCCCAAATAAATGCGCATTAGGAGTGTTCACTATTTGGAAGTTTGGCTGTAGCTTTGGAAATTGCATAGCATCTGTTCTCTGCTTTATTTGTGACTAGTGTTGATGACTATTAAGAGTCCGTGGCTGAGTGGTTAGTGTGAGAGATTCATAATCTTTAGATTGCAGGTTCGAACCCGAGACGTAGAATTTTACTAGGTTAAGGCTTATTTCTTATTCTTATCGCGCTGTATAGAGCTGCTTTTTTGTCGTGTTTTTGCTAATGTTTGCGAAGCAAAGCTTTGCCTTTGTGTTAAAGATACAGAGCTGAAATTGTGACACATACTTGATAAAACTATTTAAAAGGAGCTAGAAGGTGTAAGGTTGAGAATTCTTGAACGTGTAAAATAGCCAGAATATCATAACTTATTTCAAAAGCTTTCTTGTTGTGGAAGAATCCTCGCAACCAGCACAAGGAATATGAGTTTACGGGCGCAAAGTGGATCTTTGGTAAGCTCATAAGCAGGAATTACTATGAAATCCGCGGAAAAATGACAGACAGAAGAACCGAAACAATTACTTGGTCCAGCGGAAAAAAGGATATTGTTTGACGACACAAGCACCAAGAATTCTTGGGCTCTTATACCAGAAAATTGGACAAAACTTAGACCATGTAACTGCTTTTGAGTTTCTTAAGCATGGGTTAACAGTCATTATCCCTAAAAATTGCTGCAGCAGTTTCGTTGGCTTCTTTAATCATCAGCGCAAATTTACTCGTTAATTTTAGCCATTTTGACGCCGGACCAATTAACTTTGACTCCTTTTGTATGTCGTTTTTCGCGGCTTGTAGAGTAAGTCAAGATCATCATCTTTTCAAAGAACCAATTTGAGTCCATAAACTCAGAAAAGTTGTGTTGTTTTCCAGGATAATGCCACAGCAAGAACACCACTAAATCTAGTTATAACGTACTGGCTATCTTACGCCTTCGCAACTGGCTATCTTACGCCTTCAATAAGTTTCTTCCACTTAATTTTATCTAGCCCGTGTCAAAGTTTCAGCTCTATCTCTTTAATAGTTGCTGACCAATCCCAAGAAAAAATCGTTCAAGTGCTTTTTGAAACCAAAAAGTTACAACTTGTTTTGCCCGTGAGTGAAGTATTTTTGAACAATTGAGCTTTAACCCACTTGAAATTAACGTACTCTTGGAGTGTGACATGCCAATGCGCATGTCAGTCGCATAAATATAAATTCTCATATAAATTAAAAACGTTAGCTTATACTTGTATAGATCGCGATAGTTTTTGCTTTTTTCAGGAGCTTTAAAATTTGCTCAGGCTCAGGTCTTAAGGCTTGTTCAGGTTTGATTTTTGGTTTTTTTTTTCATTTCGTTCGTGAAAAGGACGACAAACTCCACTATCGAGCAGCAAAAGTGTAAAGTCACGAAAAACGGGATCGACTTCTAGTTTCGAAATTAGAATGTTATTTTCAGGTTTCCCAGCGAAATAAAAATTTTGCTTATGGATCCAGTTTTCTCAACTTCCGTTAAATTTTATGAAAAAGTGTCAATCATAATTTGTTCTAGAAATTCAAAAATTTTTAAGGGCCTCTAATTTTCTTAGAAATTCGCAAGTTAGTTATTTTTCTGCTCAGTATTTTTTCTGTTTACCTGCATTCATTGACTATTTTCCAAATTTTTGTTGGCTTTAATTTTTATCAAGTTGATTTCAACTTCATCTGGTAAAAAGAAGTTAAATTATGCTCTCCAATTAAGAAAGCAGAAAAGGCACAAATTAGCGTAAATGACTTATATGTTCGAGAGTGGATTCTAATTTTAGATTTCCCCGCGAAAAATTTATATCTTTTGATCCAGTTTTCTCCTTTAGGTTATCTTTATTCAAAAAAGTGTTGATCATAAGATTTTGAGAGCATCAATGTGATATACTTTTTTCTCTGAGTTTCGAAACTTTTAAAATCAACTCCGCTGAACTAACACTTTAGAATAAACTCCGCTTCAGACAAATTTCGACTTTTTAACTAGCCATTTTTGACGGAATTTTTTATATCATTCGAAAGGTATTGTTGTGTTGAGCCTAAATTTGAAAAGGTATTTCACCAGTGATCCTTTTTCGCAAAGTTATGGAAGCTTAAAGATTGGGGGCTTTCATTTTTTGTATCACAATTAATTTTTTCATGTTTTTTACTGCTCCATAGAACTCAAAAGTCAGTCGGAACAATCAGGGCTTCGCCCTGAAAAGAGCAGTCTTGTTTTATGTTTCTTCACATTTGCGCCATTCTTTAATTAGAAGTGAATCTTTACAACACGAGAGAAATCAAAGGGATGCAAAGTTTGATCAGATCAAAGTAGAAGCTCCTCGTGTGAAGTTGACGCTATCAAAGTTCAAAGTTGAAAGTGTCCCTACAATTATATTCAAACTATCTGAAGTTGAGCTGGGCTAAAACGGGCCTGAACAAAATATCCACAAGATATACAAATGCGCCTGAACCTCACTTGAGATAAAAGGTGGTCTCGAATACTTTTCGAGTATGTTTCGGAATTCGGCGCAAGAAATTTAATAACTAATTTTACCACCACGAGCTGATTGAGTCGTCAAATGCTTGGAAGTATAATTTTACGGGCAAACTATTATGTGTGATTGAACGAGGGGAAAACATTTCATTAGGTCTTCTATTTTTGATGGCCTTTTTTAATAAGGAAAAGAATTAAAAGTCGCTGGCGCTCAAATTCATAATTTCGCGGTATGACTTCGATTTTACAAGCTTTTTTGAATTCATCTGCCGAATGAAAGGTAAATTACAAGCTCCAATAGCAAAAGTGATGATATCATAAAACTTTATTTTGTCTTTTAGTTTAAAATAGTGCATAGGCTTCTCAGTGGAACTAACAAGTGGTACCTAACGATCCACGTTTAGTTCCGATCATTGAAAAAGGGGCGGAACTTTGTATTCGGGCGTGTTTTTTTTTGTTAACGCTAAAAACAAAAACACCCCCAAATACAAAGTTCCGCTCCTTTTTCAATGGTTTACGCTTTTTTGTTTCAAGTATCAAAAACAATAATGAGAATGGGTTCAGTGCTATCATATTAAAGCCCTGTAAGTCGTGATTGTACGAGCTTAAATTTTTTTCATAAAATTGTCCCGGTGACGATAAAAACCGGATTGAAGTTATTGAGTTTTAGTCTATTTTCGAGCGAGTACAGCTTTCGAGTAGGCTTATTATAGAAGGATAAGCCATGAAGTTTTTATAGGCCTGAAAACTTAGTTTCACTCCAGTAAAATTAATTTTCGAAGCTTTCTTCACCGCCATCTTCGCCATAAAACTTCATTGAAAACTGCAAAAAAAATGTTTTTTTTTTGTCATTTTCTGAAGAAAACTGCCGTCCAATATTCCTATTGAACTATTACTATCGAATTTGCTCAAGCTTTGGGATTTGGTTTTACGACACTACATTGCAAAAAATTTTAAGATGTTTTTCAGTCATTTTTTGACTAAAACTCTGTTGTCCATCTTGCCAATTTTGCGAAGAGTGTCGAATATGCACAGCGCAAAAAAAACATTCACTTGAATTTTTTTAAGTTTAATAAGAATATGGTCGGAACACGCTGTGCTACTTGCACATCAACTGGTTATTCTTGTCTCAAATTGGGTTTGATTTATCGAAAAAGTCAATCTTAGAAGTAGATCTCTTAATGGTTAAGATGTGAATCATTTTTTTTTTCAATATGCCAAAATTCTTTCACAGTTTTTCTAAATGCGAAGGTTTAGGAACATTTCCCTGTCACTAAAACTTTGAGTTGAACTGTACGATCACCAAAAAGTACGATGATATTATCCTCAAAAATGATCTAATCGATATACCATATTTTCTCTCCCCTAAGTTGATTTGGAGGGGGGAGGGGTGTTGTACGATTGATGATTGATCCCAACTTTGTGGAGTAGACAAAAGTTATTTGTTAAAGCTCTTCAAAACTTAAGCTTCTATCAATTGGACAACAACTGACACAATCTTAGTTTGCTAAAGTATTTAACAATAGTATGGGTACGAACTCATGAACACATTATTAGAATATCATCTGCACATCTGGTGATGGTTTGAATTGTAGTTAGTAACAAACTTAAATCCATTACTATCGTTTTACTAAATTTATTTTTACCAAAATAAATTATTCAGTGAATTTTCTTCGTTTTTACGAAACGTGTTTTATAGCCTTTAACAGATTTATGCGATCTGACATGCAAATTGTCAATAGATATAAAACACATGACTCCGACAAAAAGGCAAACTAAACTTCAGAGAACTATTCATAAACAGTTTCAGCTTGCAGGTGAGAACTTTTTCAAAAATTTAAGACGTTGCCTGATAAATTTGTTTAAAGCTACATTTAAATTAACCGGAACAAAAGAACAGAGTTTGAAGTTTTTCTCAAATTGGGTTAGACAAAAAGCGAAGAGAACGAAAGTTGCATAGAACTGCACCAAAAATAACATGGTGCAAATGTTCGCCCGATATCCTTAACCAAAATTTTAATAAAAATTGTCATTTTGGTCTTTTTTACTCACCAAGAATTACGTTGAAACTAAAAGTTAATTGATAATAAAACTATATCAAAAGAAAACTTTTACATAGCTGTAAAACGTTTTAGCAGGGTAAATCTTCAGAAATCTCTGAGAATATATTTTTGGTTGATAGCTAAAAAAGATCTTTTGTACTACATAAAAACAAAATCTTTGGTTAAAAACAAGGTTAAATTGATTTACACAACGTTTTGAAAGTTTTTTTTCTAAAGTTTTGTTAGGCTATATAACTGGCTTCTTTTGATATTACTTTCTCATTCATTAACTTGGTAGTTTTAGCGCAATTCTTGATTTAGTACAAAACGCTAAACTCCCATTTTGCTAGTGAAATTTAGGTTGAGTTTTTCGGGGTAAAGTTGCTCCATTGTAATTCCAGCGAAGTTCTAAGAGTTTTTTTTCTTTCATTTTTTTTTCTAATCCGAACTCAATTTGAGATAAACTCGTTTGAAACTTGAACTTCGGTCGTTTCGGTTAATATAAATCAGCAATCTAAAACCAACTTTTTGAGTAAATCGAAACGTCAGTTTCAACCTGGAACAGCTTGAAGTTTTCGAGGCGACCTGGAGAATATAGTTTTGTCTGAAAAACTAGCTTTTGAGCGCAAAAACCGTTAAAATTAGTTGCTTTTTATAATTAAGTCTATCTGTTCGATTTTCTTGCAACTTTCTATATTATACGTTGCAAAATATTGAGCAAACTCAAATAACTAAAAAAGTTAATTTGTCAGTTTTGAGCATTGTTTTTGCATGCAATTTTTTTAAATTAAAGGTGACCTTGACACAAACTTTTTGTCCTTAAAATTTGCTTTCATAGTTAATGCTAAATTGTTGGCAATATAAATGACCTTGAGCAATCAATAGCATTTTAGGTTCATTTCTTTTTTGAATTCAGTTTATACGTGTGGAAATTCGTAAAAACGGAAATCCGATTTCAAAATGAGCAATTTTAGGTTAAGTAACTGCGGTCAAGTTCATTGACCGGAAAAATTTTATCAACAATTTGGCATTAACTGGACATGCAAAAATTGTTTTAAATATAGTGCTGATTTAAATTAGCCGTACAAAACGAACAAAACTTGAATTTTCAAACGCTTTTTTCTCAAATTGGGTAGCCATTAGAAAAAAAGTAAAGAAAACAAAATGCTTAGAATTTCATCAGAAATAGTATGGTGCAGTTTTTTTTCTAAAATTATCAACCTAAGTTTTACCCCAAAAATGGGTCATTTTGGCTTTTTACAATTAATCAAAAATTACTCTGAATCTACTTTGTTAATTGATGACAAATATATATCACAAGAAGCTTCTTACACAGCCCAAAAGTGTTCTAGGAGGGTTAATCTCCAAAAACTTGAGTAAATGGTTTGAAAGTTGTTTTTAAGCAAAGATTTTGGGTTTTATATAGTAAAAATTACGTTTTTTGACTATCAAGCACAAATATTTTCTCTTATACAGGTTTTTGAAGATATAACCTTTCTAGAATTTTTTTGGGCTGTGTACGAGGCTTCTTGTGTTCTATATTACTTTTCAATTAACAGCATAAGTATCTTCAGCATAATTCTTGATTAATTGAAAAAAGCCAAAATGACCCATTTTTGGGTAAAATTTTGGTCGAGAATTTCGGAGAAAAAATTGCAACATATTAATTCTGATGAAAATCTAAGCAACTTTTGTTTTCTTTACTTTTTGTCTAATCGTAACCCAATTCGAGAAAAACAAGTTTGAAATTTCAAGTTTTGATCATTTTGTCCAGATAATTTAAATTAGCACTGTATAGAGTTGCAAAACGTTGGAACAGCAGAAAGAAAAAATAAAAAAGAGCAGTCTGTCAATGTTGAGCAATTTTGCATGCAAATTTGAGATTTTAGGTGACATTGAGACACTTTTGTCAGAAAAATTATCTTTAGCATACGAAAACTTTGAAAACTTTAATTTGCTTGTTTTCATCATTTCCCTGTCTTCAAACTTCTTGCTACTAATTATATAATTAATGCCAAATTGTTGGCAATATCGCTAACCGTGTGCAATTTAATCGGTGAAAAACTACAGCTTTTAGGTTAATTGGGTTTTTGGGACACGGTTTTTTCTCGTAGAAATCAGTGAAACACAAAAATCCGACGTCAAAATGAGCATTTTTAGGTTATTTAATTTCATTGATATTTGTTGACCGAAAAAATATCGCCAACAATTTGACATTAACAATATATCAAAAAATTTTTGAATGGAAAAGCTAATTTCTAATTTATCAGACGGAAAATATGACTCAAAGCCACCTTAAAGCTCAAGTTTGAATGCGAAAATTGCTCAAAATTGACAGATTGCTTTTGAAAAATTTTACCTGTCTGTTCCAACTTTTTGCTACTAATTATAGATCATTTAATTAAGTTTGTCCGTTCCAATTTCTTACAATCTTTTAATTTGCTCTTTGCAATTTGATTCAACCTTTTGCACCTCTTTGTAATATTCCACTGAGATAGCGTTACTAATTTTAAAGTTTAGAAAGATTCTTTCAACAAAATGTCGAAAAATATCAAGTTGGGCGACCTGGCGATGATAGAGGTCAAAGGTGAACACAAGGAAGAGTTCAGTGTAGAAGAAGCTATAGATGACGAAGAATTAGAATGTGACTTATACGATAATGTGAACTTGCGAAAACCGTGGAAATTGGGTTTGTTTTACGACAAGGTAGGCCAGGCATTTACACATAAGATAGTGTTCGCCAGAGTTGCGCTTTACCCTTTCTTTGGAGTTTATTTGAACATTCCTGGCCATATGTACGCGGCCTTGACCTCAATTTTCCCGATGTTCTGGAGTCTGAAGTTTTTCTGGGGATTTCTAAGCGATTCGAAGCCCATCTTTGGAAGAGGAAGGATATACTACATGGCTTTAGGTATGTTACCAATCACGCACTAATTTTCATTAAGTGAGCCCAAGCACTGAAAACTTGGCTTCAACGAAGCTATGACAAGATAGCCAATTGCTGTGCAAGTAGCACAGATTGTTCCGACCACAGTTACTCGAACAAAACCGAACAGTAAAAACGAACAAAACCAAACCAAAATTTTTTACAAGTGAAACAAGAATAGCCGGTTGCTGCGCAAGTAGCACAGAAAGTTCCGATCAGATTCTTGAAACGAATTACAAAAATTAATGTCGTTTTTACGTAATTATGTTGGACACTCTTGGTAAAATTGGCAAGATAGACAACAGTTTAAATCGAAAATTGACTTAAAAAAAAACGTATAAACAAAAAATAATTTCAATAGTTTTAATTTTTTCTGCAGATTTATTTGCTCGAAATTAGACAAAAAAATTTTGAAATTTCATATAGTTTTTTCTCAAATGAAAAAAATGTTTTTTGAAATTTTGAATGCCGTTCGAATCACAACAAAGAGGCTTCAATGATAAACCACTCAACCCTGTCCGATGATAATTTATGGTAACTGATTTTAAATCGAACTCAAAAAAAGTTTTTTAAAAAATAAAACACCCGAATACAAAGTTACTCCCCATTTTTCAATGGTCGAAACAATGACTAAAACGCCTGTCTTAAAATCGTAAAACGTATTATCACATTTCGCCAACTCTGATGTTTGAAGTTCTACCAAATAACAGAAAACAGTGATCACCGGTTTAAATTTTTAGTTCTTTGATTTTTTAAAGCAAAAATTGATTAAAAATGAACGTTTCGAAACCTGATGAAATGTTGCTAAGCAGCTTCTTTCTTCAAAACAAAAATTTTTTGTGACTTTAAGTTTCATGATGCCTTAAAACACACCAGAAAAATTTCAAAATTGAAAAACAAAATGAGTTTCTGGATTTCCTTTAGCTTTTTATTTTTTTATTTAGTTAGTTTTTTTTGGAAAAAAAGTTCGGTGTTAAATTGGAGGCCATTCTAAGTGAAGAATGGCTCAAAAACAAAAGGTTGAAGATCGAAGTGATATGCTGATACGTGAAGCAATTGGGCTGATACGCTTTCACGCTTGCCATTCACTAGACGAACTAACGACAGTTCCTGGTTGCTATCGGCGCGACTACTGCAAGCATACTGGGAAAAACATTTTACAATTACAACTATCGTTCCGATAGTGGTTAGGTTATTAATTTGTCTGCTCTTGGAACTTTTCAAATCTTGGAACATTCTGCTCAATGCTTTTGTTGTTGTTTCTTTCGTTTGTTGCTTATGCTTCTGTTTTTGGACTGGTGCGGAATCCAGTTACAATTCTAAAAAAAATACTAAATAATAAGTTTGTTTCAAATAGTGCAATAATCCAACAATTTAGAGAAGTTATCATTGATAGAGCACCAAATTGAGCAAGCACACAAGGCAATTCAACCTGTTGAAGCGCCGCTGAGAACTTTCTATTAAGTATTGTCTTATATGGACCTGATTGTTAAATTTCAGTAACATTTCTACAGAAAAATATATAATAGGTTTAAAGAAACAAATCAAAACCTTAGTTCCTTTATCTTGCAACTAATTGATATATTTTTACAGTAATATTTACATGCAAAGAAAAGTAGCAAAAAAAAACAATTTTCAGACTTGAAAATTAACTTTACAAAATTTACTTTAATTCAATTAATACGAAGTTTTTTTTGGGTGTTCGCTTTATACTTCAGATAATAAAAAACAAATCAAAATTTTTTTAACCAAAACAATTTGTTTAAATAGTTGCAATCATTTAAATAAGTATCTCTGATTTTATGCATAAGGTTGTTTATAGACTGTTAAGGCTCGATTAAAGTATACATTCACTGTGCTGTGGTTTTTTGAGAATATCATTGAAATAAATAAGAAAAAAGCAGAGGACCCAAAACAGAACCTTGCGGTACCCCATATTGAAGCTTCTTTGTTGTTGAACAATTGTTCAAATGAAAGACATACTAGTTTCTATTGCTGAGGTAGGATTTCAGTAGAATAAGAGGAACGCCTCTCAGGTGACACTTATGAATAAGGGTATTATGATCAACAGTATCGAAAGCTTTAGATAGATTTAAGAGTGTGCAGTGTGTCAATTTACCAATAATTTTGCTTTAAATAAGAACCTTTTAAGTTTCCTGAATAGCATCAATTGCAGAACGTTTGTTGCGAAATCCGAACTGTTTATTGCTTACACGTCAAATTTATTGAAAAAGTAAAATAATCGTTTCGATAATAGTTTTTCAAAAAATTTTCCTAAAACAGGAACTAAAGAAATAGGTCTATAATTGCTTGGAAGTGATTTCTTGTCTCCTTCTTAGAAAATAGGAAATATTTTTGTTGTTTTAAGACAAGTGGTATAAACTGCTGCGCTAAATATCTGCTTAAAAATAATAGTCTAATGAGCATTTTTTGATCAGGTAATTTGACAGACCCATGTCATTTTCAGTCCATGTTGGACAGTGGCTTTATTGTGTCATAAGCTTCCTGTTCATCAATTTTTGACAGGAAAAAAGAGTTTGTGTTTGCAATAGTTTTGGAAAAATAACTGTTTTTAAAATCCAGATGACAACTCTGGACCGATTATGACGAAATGGCCGTTCAATTTTTGTGCAGTTGTAGAATTTTCTTCGGTATTTGAACGTTTTATCTTATTACCACCTTTAACTTCTTTCACATAATCAAAAGAGTTTTTATTGGGTTGTCTAGTGTTTTCAAAGAATAGGCCAATGTAAAAATTTTTTTCTCTGCTACCATTTTTTCGACTTTGATAGTTTGCTGTCTCAGTTTTTGCTCTGCCTCTAAAGTATCCTGATTTTGATACGCTTTTAGTAATTTGTGTTTTTCAGCACTCGGATTTTTGATAGAATTCGTTATCCAGCTTTATTTTGATTTTGTCTTTTTTTTACAACTGCCACATTGCATCCAGAGTATTGTGAACTTGCTGCTGCAGGAATTCAATTGTTTTTTTAACAGTACCAATTGCGTTATCTTCAAACTCAATTTCGATTAGTTTTCTTTGGAAAATTTGCTTAGGCCAAATCTATAGTTTTTCGAGAAATCTGTGTAACACGCGTGCTGTCATTTGGCCCAGTTATCAGATTAAACTCAAGCAGTTCCATTTTTTCAAGGAGTTGCGTGCTATCTTGGGTCACAAGAGTTAAATCTATGTTGAAGTCTCCGCTTATTATATGTTTTCCTTTTTTGTCAGTTTTAATTCAATTATATGGGTTAAAAAAATTTCGATGAAATTTTCATTTTTTGCACTGGGCCATTTGTAAACTGCAGTTCAAAACAAGTTCTGTTTACTACAGATCGTCGAGACAGTGAAAATTTGGATTTTTTGAGGCTGTACATTTACAGATTTTTAAGACGTTTTCTTTCCTAGAAAGAATTGCTGCTCCTCCACCCCTACTTTTGGTTGTGTTACATGTAGCTATGTTCTTGAAATCATTTTGGCATGTCCCTAAGCCAAGGTTTTGTTAGAACAACAAAAAAAGGCTTCAAGTTTTGTTGTTGAAGCAGTACATCCAATTCATCATAATTTTCTCCAAGAGAACGTATTTTTTGTAGAAAAAGCTTTTCGGTTTAATTTGGTTTAAACCTCTGGCCAATTTTCCAGAATTGCCATTTGTTATGATTTTAAATTTTGTCGCAAGAAGATGTAATTATTTTTTGTGCAAAAAATGCGCATTATTGCCTCGTAATGTTACAATTAATCGCAAATAAATCAAAATAAAATAAAAGTCAGCAACCATCATTTAGATTTAATTTTTTTTTACAAACGTAACTTTATTCGGAGCCATGTGATACCTGCTCATAAAACGGTTGTTAAATGTTTTCTTGTATTTTAACGATACCCGCACTAAACCAGACAGATTTTTTTTCAACCTATTTTTATCTTCTGGAATAAACTACAAACTGGATTGGAGTCAGAGTCACAATAATTTTTGAATTTTCGAAATATTTTTGAGTTTAGATCCAAACACTCGAGGTTACAAAACATTTTGTTTTCAGTCAATTTTAAACTTTTCGCCATGTTTCGATCAACTTGTCTCGCATTCAAACAAAAAAGCATTTAACGAAGTGAATACGAAGCTTTAACAAATAACAGGTTTTACGCATGTCTTATACGGTAGGATTTTTTTTCTATTTCCATGAACATCGATTTTTAAAAAATGAATTCTCAAAACCATCATGCTCTACGCGATTTAACATATCATTGTCTCTTGCGAAGAGCAAACGTATTTCGACTGGCTTTAGATTTTTTGCTAGCGATTATTTTATTTCCTTCTATAGTTTTTTATTCGCTTATTCGGCTTAAATGGTTTCGGCTTTGTCTCCTTGTTATGTTCTTTCGGCTTAGTCGCTTATTTGCAATTTTGATGGGTAATAAGGTATATGTATGCTTTGTGTAGTGAGGTTTGCAAAAAGTTCAAGGCTTGCAAAACTTCAAGTTACGCACTTTTTAGCTTATTTTTTGTTCCGACTTTCGAAGAAAACAAAACATTTGTGCTCAAAATTTCACACTTTGATATTATTCAAAATTTATAGGTTTTCAATGTTTTTTCCCCCAAAATCTATTGTATATGGATTAAGGGGCAGTTGGAACATTCAGGGCTTTGCCTTGATATACAAGCAGTCTTGTTAAGATTTAAAATTTATCTTTCATTTAAACATGCGTTTACTCAAGTCATTTCGGCATAGTTGCCGATCGGGTAATTGTCCTACTCATCTAACGCTGCCGATTGTGCTTCTTGACAGTTTTATAAAATAGAAAAACAATCTATCTATATATTAATCGAATGACGTGTTTTTTGTACTCATAAGGCGCAATGTTTAAGAAATATCACCGAGCCTAACGTTTAAGAAGGCTCAAATCAAAAAGTTTTGCAATCATTCAGAGCCACCATTGAATGATCTAAATTCTGGAATATTCCAGAATCTTTTTGAAAAAAGTCCAAAACTCTGTAAAAACGATGAACTCGATTCAACTGCAAGGCTAAAAGGTACATGCCTTTTTGTTGCCCGAAATTTTTGTGTTTACGGATTTTTTTTCGCTTTGTATTTCAATTAACGAATCTCTATCAGTTGAATCAACTAAAAACAACAACCACCATGCTTAGAAAAACTTAAAATCTTTGCGAGCTGTTGAAGTCTATGAATTGACTTGAAAATTTTCAAAATGCCATAGCTTAAATAACTTCACGCGGACCAATTCGAAATATTACAAAGTTTCAGAGCTGGAGACACAGGCTTTGAAAAACTTAAATTTTTCGCGAGCTGAGTAGGTCAATGAAATACCTCGAAGCAATTTAAGTTTTCATAGCTTGAATAGCTAGCTTCGAAAAAACTTTTCGCGAAACGTTTTGCGGTCTATAGAATAACTTGAAATATTTTGGAATTTCAGACCTGGAAAAGCTTGCTCAGAACAACTGAACTTTTTGCCAACTGATTCAGTCTACCAAATAACCTGAAATATATCCAACAAACCTTCACAGCTTGTATAGTTTCCTTCGAAAAAACTATTCGCGAACCGATTTGTTCTCTTTGGAATAACTTGAATTATTTCAAAGTTTCAGGGCTGGCGTAGCTTGCATAGAAAAATTTTTCGCGAACCAATTCGCTGTCTTTGAAATATCATAACATTTATCAAAGTTTCAGATCTGGAGTTTCTTGCCAAGAAAAACGCAAACTTTCCGCAAACTGATTCAGTCTATGAAATACTTGAAATAATGAAATATTCCCTTAGGTTGAAATTTTCTGTAGCTCGAATAACTGGCTGAAGAATCCCTGAATTCCTGACTTCCCTGAATTATGAAATAAACTGAAATACTTCATAGCTTGAAACTTGCCAAAGAAACGTTTTTTTTCTGTGAACCGATTCGGTTTCTGAAACAACATAAAACAATTAAGGTAAGGTAATTCAAAGTTTTGTTAGCTTAAATGGTTTGCCAAAGTAAAACTTGTTTTTTTTTGTGAATTGATTCCTTCTGTGAAAACACTTGAAATATTTGAAAAACTCATTGGTCGAAAAACTTGCTTAGGAAAATTTTAACTCTTGCTAAACAATTAACTCTGTGAAATAAATTGAAATAAAAAACGTTGTTTTGTGTCTGTAGCTTGCATAGGAAATCTTTACGTTTTCGCGAAACCATTAGGTCTAAGAAACAAATGATAATTTTTAATCTACCTCAGACAAATTTTTCGAGAAACGATTCAATCTAACAACCTATTGGAAATACTTCAAAGTTTCATCGATTGAATGGCTTCAATAGAAAACCTTCATTTTTTTACATCTCAGAATAACTTAAAAAATTTCGAAGTTTCAATGCTTGAATGACTAGCGTAGGAAAACGTAAGCTTCTCGGAAAACGTTTTGGTCTGAAAAACAACTTAAATTTTTCAAATTTTTATCGCATGATAAGCTTCTTCATAAATAATCTTAATTTTGCTGCAAACGGATTACTGCGTAAAATGAAATTAAATAAAAAAGTTAGTTTGAATGTCTTACTTAAGAAAAGATTTTTTGTTTCTTGAACTGATTTGGTCTATGAACTAACTTGAAATATTTCCAATATTTCTGAAATATAAATAACCCTAAGTTTCGTTACTTGAAAGGCTTCAATAGAAACCCTTCAACTTTTTTTGATCTGATTCCCTTCGTGAATTAGATTGAAAAATTTGAAAATTTAATTGCTTGAATAGCTTGCTTAGGAAAACTATATATAATTTTTTGCGAGTTGATTTGGTCTATAACTTGAATTAGTTCAATGCTTAACAGCTTGAATTGCTGGCCCATATTAAAATAACTTTTCTTGAACCGATTTGGTCTAGGAAATAACTTGAAATTTTCCATAGCTTGAAAAGCTTTCTTAGAAATTTTTTTTGTGAGCCAATTGCGGTCGATGAAATAACTTGAAATACATCAAAATTTCAGAGCTCGTATTAATTGCTCAGAAAACTTCAATTTTTTGCGAATTGATTAAGTCTATGAAATTATTTTAAACACATCAACGTTTCAGAGCTGGAATTACTTGCTCAGAAAACTTAAATTTATCGCGAACTGATTGAGTCTATGAGATTACTTGAAATATATCAAATTCTTAGAGCTGGAGTTACTTGCTTAGAAAATTTTAAATTTTTCGCGAACAGATTCAGTCCATAAAATAACCTGAAAACTTTCAAAGTTTAATTGCTTCAATAGCTTGCTGAAGAAAATTTAAATTTCTCAGAAAAAACTTTCGTTCTAAAAAACAACTTAAATCGGTCCCAATTTTTATCGCTGTTACCTTACTAAGCAAAATTTTCAATTTTCGCGGACTGATTCGCTTCATGAATTAACTTGAAATATTTCAGTTTCGTAACTTGAATAGCTTGCTCAGAAAATCTTGAGTAGCTCATAGGAGATTGATAATAGGAAAGACGCTTGTTATTAACTTAAAATCGAATGAAATTCTTTTAACGGGTAAGTAGTGCTTAGAGAGTCCATTGCATGCTATTGCCATGTTGCAGGATTCTAAATTTAACCACTTGCTAGTTCTTAAAACAATCGGAGCGTAGTGTAATACTGGGAAGCATTTTTTTTCAAACTTTGTTGATAAGAAGTTCTTATTTGGTGGCACTATTGGTATATTTCCAATCACAGGCGTTTTAATAGCATCATTTGCTTTATTGGTGGCTAGTTTATTTCATTTGAGGATTTTTTTTAGTTGTAGATTTTTTGAGGTTTTTGCGACGTCCTTTATGACTTCTCATTTTTTCGGCTAGTCAAGCTTGCTTTGTGTATTATCTCAAGTGTACCGAAGCTCCATTTTTCCTCTGTAACCAAGATTTTCATTTTTAAATCTTTGATACGATGAACTAACTAATCAAGCAGTATAGCTAGATTTTCCTGTCTGGTTATATTATAACAATTTTTTGTCCAGTTTTTGTCAGAACAATTAATCAATATTTGCAGTATTCGCAATAATACACAACATAACGAGGAAAATAGAGCAATTTGGTGTAAAGTAAGTGAACTTTCAGTCTTTTTTTTGAAATGCAACGAAAATTTCCGCAAAAATTGCGTCAGAGTCCAGAAAATTTTTGAGAGAACATTTGGTGTTTAGAAATGATTCAGAAAATAGTTATCATTACAAACAGATTGAATCAAAAAAAGGATAGACGGTTGCTGCTCAAATAGCACAGAATGCTCCGACCACACTGATTTAGGAAAAGAATTCCAAAAACGATATAAAAAAAGCATTTTTATCCTTATTTAGTTCCATAATTTGATACAGTAATTCCATTGTGTTCAAACAGCGCTCGTACAACATCCAGAGTGGTGTCACTATTCGGGTTTTTAGCCAAGACTTTGATTCAAGAGAGATTTCAAAAACATGTCTCATTTCCAAGAATAACTCTTCTGAATCAATCAGAATTTTTTTCTTGCTTTCTCATTTCTAGGCTGGTTAGTCTCCATATTCGCCTATACAATCGCCCTGTGCCTGCCCTACCCTGAGCCCTACTACCAGGTGGCCAATTGTACCATGGACGTAACAATGGTGAACAATCCAGATGCACCCAATGCTGGCATGGTCTATGTGGCCATCATGGCCCTCGGAGTGTTTGGAGTCGGAATCACTGACCTAGCTTCAGGTAAACCTTTTTTCTCTTCACCTTAATACTGCTCTCCATGTTTGCATCCAAATTAATTTCTTAACGATCCCAATTTTAAGAATTGATTTTTTCTAGAGATGCAAATTAATGATACTGAATTATAGTAATATAAATTGAGCAGCGTCTAATAGTGTTAAGAAATCAAATGTTCAGAGAGGCTTTTTTCGTCAGACGAAACAAGAAGGAATCCAGGTCGACTAAAATTAGACAGATTGTCCTAGCTCTTTGTTTTTCCTAGCTCCCTAATTTGTTAAAAAGACCGTAGTCTGACAAAAATTTCTATTGGTCAACACCGCGTCACTGCATTTTACTAAATTCATGAAATTTCCCGTATGAGAACGTAGACAATTTTTTGCTTGAATTTCAAACAACACAATCTCCAGGGTAAAAATTCATGCATTCTAAAACTATTTGTTCTTATATAATAGATTCATTTTTATCACCATAGAAATACAGTGCTGATTTAAATTATCGAGAACAAAAAATGAATTTTAAACGCGTGTTTTTTCTCAAACTTGGTTGGTTTTAGACAGCAAAAAAAAAGATGAAGACCAATCCTGCTTTAAACTTTAACAAAGTTAAAATGGTGAAATTGGTTTTGCAAAATTCGGGTCCAAAAATTTACCCCATTAACGATCACTTTTGGCTTTGTTTAGTCAATCAAAAACTACTCCAGTACATTTTGTTTATTTACTGACAAAACTATATCCCTGCAAGCTTCTCATGTAACACAAAAAATTTTGAGAGGGTTGTAAACTCCAAAAGTAGATGGTGAAAGTTATAAGAACGTTTTTTTTTTTAGAAAAAAAGGTTTTTTATATAGGAAAAATGACGTTTTTTGGATATCAAACGAAAATATATACAATTATACAAAGCTGACAAAATTATTCACCTCCTAAATTTTGTTGGGCTACATAAGAGGCTTGCAATGGTATAGTTTTATCGCGAATTGCAAACTCTGGTAGACAAAAAGAATCGTTTCTAGGGTAAATTTATGGGCCTAGATTTCAGGTAAACTTATTTCTAGAGGGTTGTAAGCTTTGAGAGGGTTGTAAACTCCAAAAGTAGATGGTGAAAGTTATAAGAACGTTTTTTTTTTAGAAAAAAAGGTGTTTTATATAGGAAAAATGACGTTTTTTGGATATCAAACGAAAATATATACAATTATACAAAGCTGACAAAATTATTCACCTCCTAAATTTTGTTGGGCTACATAAGAGGCTTGCAATGGTATAGTTTTATCGCGAATTGCAAACTCTGGTAGACTAGGCTTGCAATGGTATAGTTTTATCGCGAATTGCAAACTCTGGTAAACTCTGGTAGACTGATTAAGCAAGATTGCTCTTCGTCAGTTTTTGTGTAAAATCAACAAATTCAGAGAGCAACTTGTTTTAAATTTCAAGTTTTACCCCTTTTTTCGTGGATAACTAAAATTAACACTGTATTTGAAGTATAAGAAAACCGAGACTTTTTCTTACTTTTCGTTACAGACGTTTTTCGTTTTTTTTTTTAAATTGCATGACCAATTTTTTTCAGTAAATTCTACGAAGCCTTAAAACAAAGTGAAGGCTTTTTGGCGGTTAATGGACAAGTTTGGTGGTAAAAGAATATGTTTCACACCGTACTTATTCTCAAATCGAATGAAAATAAAACTAACCGCTGGAATCGATAAGGTTTCAATAATCGGCTAATAAGTTGCTTTTAATTGGGTGCCTTGATTATGATTTGTTTGCTTCACTGTTTCTCATAAGTTTACATTAGTTTCGTTATCTAGATCAGACCCGCTTCCTTCTCTGCTTTAGCGCGACGTTTTCCTGCAGAAGCGGTTAACTCTTGTTTTTTTTCCAAAATCCCTAGAATTTTCACTATTCTCACTTATTTTAGTAGAGAAACAACTAAGGTTTTGGGCAAAGTCTAATTTTTAAAATTACGCATGTCGCCCTGCATCAGTATAATAAAATCAAAAATATCAAACACGTACCTCCAGCTTTAGCTGGGCCCTGGATGTTCTTTGTCGAAACGCAAAAATTTTGGTTCATCTAAACTTTTTTTTCATTTTCTGTGTGTTGTTCTTGACAAAGGTTTCACAGGTATAACTCTGACACTGTTATAATTGTTTATTAAGTTTCATCAATCTTTTTAGATAGTTTCATAATCAATGTCTGCATCATATCAGCTAAAAATGGAGGGCAACTCTGAGTAGAGTGCATGAAAACATCGACATACATGATAATATAGATAAAATTAGATTTCGTTAAAGAAATTCGATTTCGATGAAATAAGATTTTGTTATTTTTTAATGATCAGTTCATGGAGTCAATACTGGACTCATTGGTTCTTTTATCAGTTGTCTTGGTTCTTATATAAGGCCAGCATCTCGTGTCTGATCTCGACTACTGCGGCTGGCACTTCTCTCCGTTCCTCCTCTTCTGGAGCTCTTTTGTTCAGTTTGTCTTCCAGTGACAGCTACTCCGTTATTTTTTATCTGAAGGCAGTTGACGCAGTCACAATACATAAAGTAAACCAAATCCAGCAATCTGTTTGCAAAAGCAAAAGCAAACATCTCAACTGACAAGCTTAATAGTTTTCAAACGCAAAAAATTGGGGATAGCCTGTAAACATCCGATAGGTCAAGCTTCCGAAAACCTAAAAACTGTTGCAAACATCCGAAAAACAGCTTTAATAGGGCAAATATCCCACATTTTTCAAAGATCAGATGTTCAAGAACATTTTTCAAGAACTAAGGCAAAAAACCGATTTCTCTGTTCACTTAAAAGATGCTGAAGTGGCCGAATGAAGGCGAATCGCCGCGGTCGCACCGACGTGTTGCAAAAGCTTGCCTTTAAAAATTAGAGCCAGTTATCGTCGCGAAGCGCCGCTGCGCGCGTAGCGCGACTAGCAGCGACCTTAACCCGAGAGTCTGCCAAATTGAAACAGTATAATTGAATTATATAAGTCGGATGTTTGACCTAGCGGACGTTTGACATATCGGATGTTTGCCCTAGACCCAAAAGTTGGACCTTAGTACAAAAAGTGGTTCTTATTTCTTACTTAAAAAGCTGATATCTCTAATTAGTACGGTTTTAAATTCTCATATCTTTTGGACTTGCCAAGCGGTTTGTTTACCTTGCCTGTATAATTCTTACGTACTAAACCTTGATTTTTGTGTAAATTTTGTAATAGTATCTGAATGAACCAGTATAGTTGACCAACCTCTGGGTCTTTGCTCTTCTTGTCTGTGGCCCATTTGATGACCCAAGAAGGCACCCCTGGAATGGAGTCCATAGTTTTGTCTTCCGTCTGGCGACACTTCCACGCAAATGCATTTGCCCTCCGGATAGGCACGCCCTGCTCAGCTAACATCAGTCTTAAACACATAAAACAAACGATATTTTTTCATCGAAAAGTTTTTCTTGAACGTATGTAAATTTGAACCTGATTGGATAAAATATGGAAACGTTACTAAGTGGGGGTATCACCGGAAAGACTATCATGTTTCCTTCAATGATAACTGTATTTCTCAAAAAGTGGCTAGGATGATTGATAACCGACCGATTATTCGTTTTTTGGTCGGCTTAAAAACAACTGATGTCTTAGTTTTGGCATGGGAGCTTGAGGATAATTTTTGCGGCCCCTCCTGCCACCTTAAATAGACCAAGTGAACAATCTCCACCCTAAAGTTTAATGAAAAATTCAAGCAGTGAGAACTGCGTATTCTATGCTCATATCTGATTGGCTGAAAAATATTACTTTTAACCTAGTAATTTATCTCCCTATTTTGATTAAGGGAGGGAATAGTTCACTTGGTCCAATTTTGTTCATCTGTGTTCTGACCTGTAGCTGATCTCGGAGTCTAGTTTGCGGTACATCTCGTGAGCCTCCGCACACTTGGTACTCTCACTCTCCCACTGGAACGTCATCTGCAGACCTGCACACACTTTTCATTAACAACATTTTCTTACCCGATGCGGATCAATCAATACAATTTGAATCAATTAGCTACCCCGACTAAACGCTCCAAAAAAAGTGCCCTGAAGGGGAGTTTACGGCTTGACTTGGTAAAAGTTTTTCGGAGAGTCTTCGATAAATCAAATCAATTGTATTGACCCACAAAAACTTTGCTGATATTTTCGTTTTAAAGAAAAACCATCCCTCAGGAGGGATTTATTAAGGAAAAAACTTATGAGATCCGCCTGTGGTATGAAGGAAAAACAAACCTGTGACTATAGAAATAATGGCCGATATCTTGACTATAACAAGTGAGACCTCGCTGTCTTGATCTCCCACAATTATGGCCGACAGAATTGCATTTACAGTACCCAGAATCAACAACGGGGCATAGAACAGGCCTAGGTTGAGATATCTGTAGTAGGTAGCGCCTGCCCCGAACACCCACTTGAGGTGGCGGAAGCGGACCAGCAAAGCCCGCAGGAGTTTCCCGCTGTTCAAGTTCTGGTCGTCATCTGGCAGATCATCCTCCTCCGCCACTGAACAGTCCTCATAATTGGATTTCGACAAAGTTATATTTAAATTCCGAATTATGTTTTGATTGTTTTTCTTCGAAGAATTCAAACTTTTCAAGAAACTACCTACTACCTAGATAATTATGGCTTAATAGGTGTCTTTTCGTGTTTTTTTTTAAGAATTCGTGTTTCTACAGTCTTCTTATACCTGCTCATAATAAGCCTGCTCGCTTGCTTTTTTGCTCGAAATTAGACTAAAAGTAAAAAAATTCGAACCGGTTTTTCTCGCCACTGATAAAATCATTTTTTTATGTCTTACGAATCAAGATTTAAAGGGCTTTGTTTTGATAAAACTGAACCATTCTGATTATTGTTGGTAGTACCTGATTTTGCGTAGAATTTAAAACAAAAACACACCCGAAGTCAAAAGTTTTTCCCCATTTTCCATGTCGGAGCAAAAAATTATTTTGTATTAATTTCCTGTTAATTTTTTTTCCAAACTAGACATTAAGATGCCAGAATCTGCGCTAAGAATGTTTAAAGGAACATTAATTTTTTGATTGAGCAAAATTTTCAGCTCAGGTTATAATCAAATTGTCTGATAAAATATGAAACGCAAAAACACTTAGAAAACTACAAAATTTATTGGAATCCGAGTCACGACAGACAGGGCTTATATACGAAACCACACTTGACCCTCATTAGAAAAACCAATTAGTTCTCGGAGGGAAATGCAGGAAGTTTTGCTACAAAAAAAAGCTTCAGGTGCGCGTCAGTGTCAGCGAGCATGTTAATTTAAAGCAACGTTTAAAAATGCCCTTTTTATAGGGCGAACAAGTTGATTTTCCCGAAGAGCTCTCCTCAATAACTCCGAAAATATCCAATTTTCAGAATCCCCCCGCCCCCACTAAAACTCAACCCAAAAGTTATCTAAAAAATGTTCCATTCTTTACGCAAATTATTGGCTTCAGCCTCTTCCTTCGCTTTCTTGTCGCTGCTGCTGTTGTTGCTATTTTCTGTGCTGGCCCCACTCTGTTTGCCGGCTCCTCTCTTCTTAGCCCACTTTTTGTCCCCCCTCTCCTCCTTTTCAGGTAGGGTGAACTGGATGTGTTTGTAGTCCTTAGCGATGAAGCTGGGCACTGGAATCTCCCCGTCCATGATCGCTTTCTCGTCCTCGTAACACCGGGTCACAAAGTGCAACACGCCATCTGAGGCTGAAACATTATTTCTCTGTTTTTTAATGAGTAAGTTTCTCTTGACTGCAAACCGAGAGCGGACCTACAGTATATGGTAACGAATCTGTGCCTCTAAAAAGGAAAAATTCAAATAGTTCAAAGTGCAATTTTGATTTTTTTAGTACAAACTTAATTATAGTTGTTATCATCGAGATGAAAGACGATCATACGTTCAGCTCTTTCTAAAGAACGCTGTTGGTTCAGAATTGCGTGCGTTTTTTTACAGGGCTGGGTTTTCTGCCTCGCCCGCACGCTATAACACTATTTGTCAATCTCGGGACCGGATGAGCGGGACCATCCGAAGAGTCCCCCTTTGGGACTCTGTAGCGCTTAGTATCAATTTTTGGTCGATGAACCAAACGATTTTTCTCGAGGCGCCTTTGCCGCCAAAAAAAATATACTAATATACACAAAAATTGGAACCTGATCTAAACTATATTTTATGATTGGATAAATTAAATGTTTTACCAATGTAAAGTATTTAATATTAACCAATCATGATCCATCTAACTAACAACCCACTTATTTGTAAGTGCTGAAGTTACTTGTAATTTCAGCACCAGAGAGATTTGAATTTAACTTAGAAATTAGTTGGACTCTCCCGAGCACTTCAGCAGCCGCAATAAACCAGTATACCCTAGATCTATTGAGCCTAGCAGAGACTAGTTAAACAACCTGAGACTAGATAGTATAAGAGTAAGATTAGGATCGGTATTAGACTAAGAAGTTGCACGAATCTATCCGGCCGAAAATAAGATAGCGTGACGAGCAGACGGTGTACCCTATCCGAAATTACTCTATGAGTTATACATACCAGTCATAACTCATCTGGTGCGACCATAAGTCTCGAACAAGACCTTACTAGATTAGAATTAACCAAAATAGATTAGAAATTAGACAAAAACATTTACAAAATGTTATACGACAATAATTTAATTGAAATGTCTCTCCGACTCAATAGATCAGAGCCAATATTCCGAACCATAATAGAACTACCCGGAATTGGAAGAAGACCTCGAACCAAAGACGACATACGACAAAGTAGAAACTTGCCGTATAGTTATATGATAGTTCGGCAAAAGCCAGAACAAACTTTTATATTTCGAATACTACTTGCAATGAATTTAGATTTCCATTTGCAAACATAAAACCTTGAAGTTACTCTTCAAAATCATTTAAGGCGCTAAACAAAATTAATATTATACAATAACGATTGATAAAAAGATCTAAGATCGTTTTCCTAAAACTCTGCAGTATTATACAAAACATGTTTGAAAAATATTTATTGAAAAATAAAAAATAAAAATTAGTAGCATGACAATAAATGGTTAGTAATCATAAATCATCCTGTTGTTCCAGCTCCATCACCTAAAACATAACAGCAATCATAAACCCACTAATATCATCAAAACACTAAATCTTTCCTTTACACACATTTAAAATTTTATTAAAACTTAAATTCACTTAATTTTAAAACCAGATCATCAAGGCTTATCCTTGGATCTTAAATCATTTTCTACTTAATTAAATTTCAAATTTGATCATCAAGGCTTATCCTTGGATCAAACAGAACAACTTTGTTCTCCCCCACCCACTTAATTAGTGTCTAACGACCTCAAACGTCGATTCACTACCCAACCCTTTCTAAAGACCTAAGACTAATAGAAATTTTTAAACAAAACTAATCATTCAAATTAGGATAAACAGTGAAGAACTTCGGTTATTCATCCTTCACTTGACCCCCCCTCTTAACAGACCCAGGATAAATCTTAGACTTAGTAAGTTTAAAATAGTATCTAACGAACTACTCGCGTTCTAATTATACCTGAACCTTGTGGATCGATTTACTATTCTCCAACCCTTGAACACAATCACTACCCCTAAGTAAGATTAAGTAAGTTAACACCTTAACTTATACTAGCCACGAGAAAGTAAAAAATCATTCTTCGGAATCGATATACTTTTCTCTCCAACCCTGAACAAATAGACCCAGGTTAAGCTAACCAAAAAATCGTAAGAACTAACAGTTTAGGAAAATAGAAATCATTTAACAACCTTTTGCATCCGTCATCCTAAACCTTATGTCATTTAAAAACCTAGGAAATAAACAAACAATCATTTTACACAATTGTGAAATAGATAACAAAAAATACGACCTTGTAATCACACCTCATACACAAACAGTTGGATACATTCGAACAAAACGACAAACACTAAAGAGGAAAATAATAACTAAACAAAGACAAATAACACGAAAAAGATTTTCAAAAAATCGAAACGCATTTTCAGAATCAGAAACCAACAGTTTAGACGAACTTTACAAACTAAAAGAATCAATAGATAAAAATTGCCCACTTCACGATCAATTATATTTTTCTGACTCAGAAACAATTTCAAATTCATCAAAAAGAGGAAAAAGAAGAATAAAAAAGCAGTATAAACACAAACCAGTACATTTATACAATTGGAATCAACCAATTCGACACATTAATAATTACATATTAACAGTCATCGAACGAAAAAATGAGTTCAACACACACTCCAGGTGACGAAACTCCAGATGATGATGAAATCTTTCCTTTTATAGTAGATGCAGATACTGATAGAGGACAACACATATTTTGTCAAAATTTACTCGTAAACTTATTTGAACCCGGAATCAGTCCATGTAAAACAGAGTTCCCCGATGTAAAAATCAAAAGACAAATCATAGATCACTATCTAAAAGATATATGCAACATAACACAACAGTATGGAATCTACTCTATAGAATTCACTTCCCCAAACCATAATAATAGAACATATACTATTCAAACAGACGATCTTGATTTAGAATTTTCAAAAGTTTTTTCAGAATATATAAAAAGCATCCAATACCATAACTCACAAAGAGCAAACTCCATATTCACCAATGAAGTTTTCGCAATAATATATAGTTATATTTCGATATTAGAAAACGAAATCCCATTAACAAATGTCTCACCGACAGAAACATCTAAACATTTAAGAGTACGACATGAAATCACACTACTCTCTAGTTATTTAAACATCATTAAAGAAAATTTCACGAAAGACGACGTTTCACAACATACAAAACACGATTTACAAAAAATTTTAGCATGGTTCATAATAGATTATTTCACACACAATATTGATTTAATTGCACAAGCAAGAAAAAATTTTCGACCCCAAAATTCGAACGATGATACCGCTATCACAGAACAATCAGATTATGTTTGGGACCCCGAATGGTCTCATCCTGCATTTATAAGCTTTCCACAATCAATCTCAAGTCAAGCAATAGGTACAATATCTTACATAAGAGATTACGTAAGAGTAATACCATTAACAATTGATGCAACACCATTAAACTATAATACATTTTTACCCGATACACAAAATAATAGTTTAAACTCTACAGTCATACAGAACGAAAACCTCAATGGAACTAGGAATCTTACTCAACAAGATATCCAGACACCATCACACTTCATAAATGAAGAAATTGTACGCACAACAACTACACAACAAAGTATTTCACCAATACGCCCAAATTTAACAACACCAAGAAATACAAACCCTTCACAAACACAGGTAACCTTACAATCAACCGTTAAACCTTCGGTTGCCCCTAAATACTCACATATGGATTACCAAACATACAGACCCATGACAATACCATCAAAAACACGCAAAACATTCACTAGAAACAACTTTGCAGACCATAATTATAATTATACACATCCATCAAAAACAAATTATCAACCACAAAGGAATTTTAATCAATATACAAAACCTCGAAACTGGGATAACCCAACGGCCCAATATAATTCCAAAAATTTTCAACCAAATCCTCCACAGGATCGCAGTGAAAATTACCCATTTTTTCAACAGAATAAAAATAAAAAACAAACATCTTATCAAATGGATTATTTATCCTCAGATGATGATTTCTTACAACCAGATATATTTGCACCAAATACTCAAGAATATTGTACACAAGGAATACAGAGAACACGTACAAATCATAGAAATTTTTCTCCACAACCAATAGATGCACAAAATCAACAACCAATTCAACAACAAAATCTAATTAATACACAATCTTTTCAACCAATTCAACAACAAAATCCAATGACTACACACTCGTATCAAGCATCACAAATGCAAAATGAAATACCACTCCCATATTATCTCCAACAACATGAAATAACAAGAAACCAACTTTCAAATTTTTCTCAAATGCCAAATGCAGCAGAATCATTACAAATGACAATGAATCCATACCTTATGGGTGGATCATCAATAACGTCAAATAAACCTTTAATGGTTTTCACAGGAACAGACCCTGAATACTCTGTAGAAGATTATTTAAATGCAGTAACAGTAAATTTGATTTTAAATATAGGACCTGAACCAATTAATACGCCACTACATCAAAACTGGATACATCGACGCACAGCGTTGATACAAACAACCTTAGATGGCGCAGCCCAAAAATGGTTTTCAGTACTACCTCTAGAAATAAAATCAAACTGGAAAAGATTTACACAAGAATTTTCAAAAATGTTTGACTCCGAAAGAAACAAACAACAACAAAGAGTTTTATGTAATGAAATTCGCAGATTACCAAACGAAACCATCAAGCAAATAGCAGTACGAATCGAAACACTAGTTCGAAAAGCATATTCATTAAATACACATGACTATAAAAACACAAAGATGACAGAAATCTTAATGATGACCTTAACACCACAATTAAGGAAAATAGCAATAAAAAAGAGAGCATCCCATCCTTCTTCAATTCGAGAACCCGATTTAGATTTTCGAAAACTAGTAGACAAATTAGAACAAGCAGAAATCACGATGAAACTAGAAGAAACGGAAAATCTGAAATTACAATACGTTAACAAAATTGAAACGACTCCCACTAATATTAATAATATACAGGAATCAGAAACAGACCTCGTTGAAAAAAT